TTAGATTATTAAAACCAGTTAAAGTAATTAATACCAGTACAAGAAACTTAAATGGCTGTTGGATTGATTAAAATATTGAGGATGGTCATCTAATACTATAATTAATAATTTAATTGCAATTTAAGAGATGAAATATCAAAAAAACACATTGAAAAAATTTACGTTTGGGTATTTGCATGGGCTGTTGGTGCAACTCTTATCTCAGATGATTATCCAAAATTTGAGAGAATTGTAGCTGACACTTTTCCAGTTGAAGTTCTGCCTAGAGGTTCTCTATTTGCTTGCTTAGTTAGAATAACTAAAACGGATGGATTAGTAGATATAAATTATACACAATGGAATGATATCATTCCATAATTTGAATATACAAAAGGAATGAGTTATTTCGACATGGTTGTTTAGACTAAGGAAACTGTTGCTCATGGCTGGTTTTTGGAGTAAGCAGTCAATACGAATTGTCCTATGTTTATTACTGGAGTTACAGGAACTGGTAAAACAATTATGGTTAATTCAACTGTTGAAAAATTAAGAGATGATGGTCATATAGCTTTGATGTAGATTACTTTCTCCGCTAAAACAGCAAGTTTTACAACCTAATTAAGTATTGAATAAAAACTTTAGACTCAACGTAAGAAAGGAAGAACTATTTTGATGCCTCCTCCTGGTAAGAAGTTTGTAGTCTTTGTGGATGATGTTAATATGCCATCCTTAGAATAATATGGTGCACAACCACCAATTGAATTATTAAGATAATTCATTGATTATCGAGGTGTTTATGATAGAAAAAGCTTTAATTGGAAGGATGTGGATAATACAATTCTAATTTGTGCTTGTGGTCCCCCAGGTGGAGGAAGGTCTCCTATAACAGTTAGATTTACTCGTCATTTCGCTTTATTAAGTGTGCCTAATTCCAGTGATGAGACTTTATCTTGGATATTTAGTACTATTTTGAAGGCTTTCTTAAAAAATAATCATTTCAAGAGTGAAATTGTGGATTTGAGTGAAAACTATTCTATTGTTAATGCAACTCTTCAAATGTATTCTGAAATCTAAAAAGCCTTATTGCCTACTCCGGAGAAATCTCATTACGTCTTCAATCTCAGAGATGTTAGTAAGATCTTCTAAGGCATTTTATAAGCTAAACCTATGATTTATTAGAAATCTGAATAAATGGTTAGATTATGGGCTCATGAGACATGTCGAGTTTTAATGGATAGATTAATTAATTAGTAAGATTAAGATTGGTTTAAAGAGAATTTAGTTAAAAATATATTCTTGTTCTTTAAGATTGAATATAAGGTCAATGAATTATTTGATTCATAACCGCCTCTTATCTTTGCAGACTTCTAGAAAAGGGCTGAGTTGGCTGATCGTATCTATGAGGAAGTGAGGGATTACAATCAACTTATAAAAGTTATTAATGAATACATGATGGAATATACAAAGATGAATCTAGTGTTATTCAAAGATGCCATTGAACATTTGACTAGAATCAGCAGAGTATTAAGATAATAAAGAGGACACTATATGTTGGTTGGAGTTGGAGGTTCTGGTAAGAAATCTTTGACACAATTGGGAGCTGTATTGGCTGGATGCAAAATAGAAACCATTGAGAGTAAGAAAAATTATGGTAAGAAAGAATTTAAAGAGGACTTATTTAGAATGATGTGTGCAGTAGGAATTGACAATAGATTAGTAGCATTCTCATTTTCAGATACTTAAATATTACAAGAAGGTTTTCTAGAGGATGTTAACAATCTTCTTAATTCAGGTGAAGTACCTAATATGTTGACTAAAGATGATTTGGAGATTATTAATCAAGGATTATAAGCAGAAGCTAGAGAATTAAAAATTAATGATATATACCCATATTTTGTCTAAAAGATTAGATCTAATCTACATGTAGTCTTAGGATTATCACCAATAGGTGGATAGTTAAGAGTTAGATTGAGAATGTTCCCAAGTTTAGTTAATTGCTGTACAATAGAGTGGTTACACAAATGGCCATAAGAGGCATTGATGAGTGTAGCAGAAATGTTTTTGGAATCTTTAGAATTTGATGGTCTAACAAAAGATATGAGATAAAATCTTTATCAAATGTGTGTTCATGTTCACTAGAGTGTTGAAAAAAAATGCGATGAATTTTATGCTGCTCTCAAAAGAAACGTTTATGTTACACCCAAATCCTACCTTGATTTAATAGAATCTTATAAGACATTATTGATGATGAAAAAAGAAGAGTTGCAATCAAACAAGATGAAACTATCTTCAGGATTACATAAACTACATGAAGCAAACAGTATCATTAGTGACTTAAAGGTCAAATTAACTGAAATGCAACCAATTTTAAAATAAAAAACTATAGATTAAGAATAGTTACTCTAAAAGTTATAAATTGATTCTACTGAGGCAAATAGAGTGAAGTAATTGGTCTCAGAAGAGGAAAGATAAGTTAATGAATAGGCATCTCGAATTAAGGAAACTAAAGCTGAAGCTGATAAAATACTGAATGAAGCTATTCCGACTCTGAATGCTGCCACAGAAGCACTTAATACTCTTAATAGAAATGATATTTCTGAAATTAAAAGTAATAATAACCCATAACCAATTGTACGTTTTACTTTAGAATGTGTTTCTATTCTATTTGAAGAAAAATTGGATTGGGATTCAATCAAAAAATTACTGGCTGATCCTAATTTCTTATCAAAAATGAAAGGATTGGATGTCGGGTAAAATCAAGCAAACAACTTAAAATAAGATCAAAGCTAAAATAGCTAGTAATCCAGAATTTATTCCAAATTTGGTTTAAAAAAGTGAGTGTGGCTGCAAAGTCTATTTGTGAGTGGGTTAGGGCTGTGAGTGAGTTTACTGATGTTAATAATGATGTTGAGAAGAAGAAGAGTCAAGTCGAAGCCATGAATTAATAATTAGACAAAGCCAATAAAGTATTATTGTAGAAGCAATCAGAACTGGCTTAAGTGGTTAGAAAGGTTACAGAATTAGAAATACAATTCAATTAAAATAAATAAGAAAAAGATCGTCTTGATTAGGATATTTAAACTACAGAGTAAAGATTGATTAGAGCTGAAGAACTTACAGTTGGTTTGGCAGATGAATAAGAGAGATGGAAGATTAAAGTTGAAAGTCTTGCTGAGGAAATATAATTACTTTTGGGTAACGTATTTTTGGGAGGCTCAACAGTAGCCTATATGGGTCCATTTACTGGAACCTTTAGAAATCAATTAATTCAGAATTGGATGGAAAAAGCTACAGAGTTAACTATTCCCTTGAGTGAGAAATACAATTTTGAATCAGTCCTAGGAGACGCTCTTGAAATTTAATAATGGGCTGCAAATGGATTACCTAATGATACAGTTTCCAAGTCAAATGGCATTATTCAAAAATATAGTAGATCTTATCCTATGTTTATTGATCCACAACTATAAGCAAATACTTGGATCAAAAATAGCTATAGAGATCATAATTTGAAAGTCTTAAAGATTACACAAGAGGGACTTATTAAACATATAGAAAATGCAGTATAAACAGGAATCCCTCTCCTCTTAGAAGACGTATAGGAATAATTGGATAACTTTTTAGAACCATTATTATTGAAATAATTTAATGTAATAAATAGAAGAAAAATGATAAAGATAGGGGATAGAGAAGTTGAATTTGATCCAAATTTCAAATTATTCTTTAGTACAAAATTAGCAAATCCTTAATTTTTACCAGAAATATTTATTAGAGTAACAGTAATCAATTTTACAGTCACAGAATAAGGTTTGGAAGAATAATTACTTGGAGATGTTGTATAGATCGAAAAACCAGAGATGGAAGAAGAGAAGAAAGACTTAATTAAGAGAATATCTACTGGTAATATGAACTTGAGAAAGAATGAAGAGAAGATATTAAATTTATTAGCAAATTCAAAAGGAATGATATTAGACAATGTTGATTTAATTGAAAACTTAAAGATATCAAAGTAAGATGCCATTTAAGTTAAAGAAAGTTTAGTAACTTAAGAATAGAAATCTGCTGAAATTGAAGCAGCCAGATAATAATATCTACCAGTTGCTACAAGAGGAAGTTTGCTTTATTTTGTCATTGCAGATTTCACTTTGGTAGATCCTATGTATCAGTTTTCATTAAATTACTTTAAGAGACTATATTAGAATGTGATCAGAAATTCAGAGAAGAATGATGATATTAAAATAAGAATAAATACGTTAATAGATGGAATAACTGAAACAATTTACTCAAATGTTTGTAGAGGTCTATTTAATTAACACAAGAGAATCTTTTCATTCTTAATGACTGTTAAAATTCAATTGAATGCAAAATAAATCAGTTTTGGAGAATGGAATCTTTTTGTAAGAGGAGCAAGTTTATCAGTTTAGCCACCAGCTATGCCAAACACTGTTAAATTAAGTCCTAAAGTCTGGAATGAACTGTATCAATTAACAACAGTTCATTAAAATTTTATACAAATTTATAACTAAACATTAACTAATTTTAAAGAGATTGAACAATTAATACAGTCTGATAATCCTTGGAGTTTATTAAGTGAATCATTGACTCCTTTCCAGAAATTAATGATTGTGAAAGTGCTAAGAGAAGAAGAAACTTTGTATGCAATGACATATTATGTGGATGCAATCTTAGGAAAGAAATTTACTTCCAATAATCAGGCATCAATTGAAGACATCTTTAATGATACTGATCATAAAACTCCATTTATATTTATTTTGAGTTAAGGTGCAGATCCATTGTCTAGTTTAATGAGATTAGCAAATCAAAAGAAGATATCATCTGAAAAACTTAGAATAATATCACTTGGTTAAGGACAAGGAATCATTGCTGAAAAGGCAATTGAAAGTGGAGTCAAGAGTGGCGATTGGGTAATTCTATAAAATTGCCATCTTGGTAAATCATTCATGCCCACTCTTGAGAAAAGATTAGAATGGTTTGAGGATCCAGAATTATAATCATCATTTAACACTGGATTTAGATTGATGTTAACTAGTATGCCTTGTGATTACTTCCCAGTTAGTGTTTTATAGAACAGTATTAAATTAACTACTGAACCTCCTAAAGGGTTAAAATCAAATATGTTTAAGAGTTATACTGACTTATCTTCAGAATAAGTTGAAAATTGTGAAAAAAAGGAACCATGGAAAAAGTTACTCTATTCTCTTGCATTTTTCCATGCTGTTGTACAAGAACGTCGTAAATTCGGACCTTTGGGTTGGAACATTAGATATGAGTAAAATATTATCCTAAATTAGATTTAATGATTCTGATCTTGAAACATCGTACACACTACTTAGGAATTTTCTTGATTTGCCATAAGATATACCTTGGGATGCAATTGTATATGTCATAGGAGAAATCACATATGGTGGAAGAGTCACAGATGATTGGGATAGAAGATGTTTGCTTACAATTTTAACCAAATTTATTAAGTAAAATGATATTTAATTAATTTTAGTGAAGATGCATTAAATGATGGCTACTCATTTTCAGATTCAGGTATTTATAAATAACCTGGTGAAATGAATATTGATGGATATAGAAATTTGATTAATAAATTCCCAGATTTTGAAAAACCCTGAAGTTTTTGGAATGAATGAAAATGCAAATATTACCTTTAAATTAACTGAATCTAAAATGGCATTATCTACTATCTTAAGTATTCAACCTAGAGAAAGTGCTCAAACGAGTGACTCAGAACAAAAGACCAAGACTCCAGATGAAAGTGTTCTAGAACTTTGTGAAATTCTTGCATAAAAACTACCATTTTAAATTAAGGAATAGGAAAAAAAGAAAAAATAAAATGCTCCTTAACATACTTCATCTGAAATTGATTCTCTTAAGGTTTGTTTGAATTAGGAAGTTCAAAGATTTAATAAGTTATTATCAGTTATTGGAAATTCAATCAAAAATTTATAAGCTGCTATCAAAGGAGAAGTTGTAATGTCAGCTGAACTCGATAAAATGTACAGCTCCTTACTCAATAATTAAATTTAGGGCTAACAGAGCCTATCCTTCTTTGAAGCCATTGGCCTCGTTTTATGACGATATGATAAAAAGAGTCAATTTCTTCAGAGATTGGTTTAACTTAGAATTTGGCTATCCTAAGGGTTATTGGATTTCAGCTTTCTTCTTCCCATAAGGTTTCCTCACTTCAGTTCTCTAGACATTTGCAAGAAAAAATTAAATTGCTATTGATGTTCTTGGATTCAGTTTCAAATTCTTTAATTATGTAGATAGTGAAATGGTATTAATTTAATCTATTTAGATAACATCAACCCCTGAGAATGGAGCCTACATATATGGGTTATATGTTGAGGGATGTAGATTTGATTTGAACAAAGGAATAATAGAAGATCAGTTGCCAGGATAAACTATCTATGAGGCTCCAATCATACACTTTATACCTACTTAAGACTATAAACCCAATCCAAATGAATATTCAATGCCTCTTTATAAAACAAGTATCTTTTTAGACTAAATCTTTAGGTCTTCGGGCAGGAGTGTTATCAACTACAGGACATTCGACTAATTTCATAAGAGCAATTGAGTGCCCTACAAAGAAGAACCCTGACTATTGGATTCTTAATGGAGCTGCCTTCACAACCCAACTAAATGATTGATAATATAATATATAATAATATTCAAATTTTATCAAGATTATTAAATCTTTTATTTATTTTAGTATCTGCTTGTCAAATTATATAATAAATAATATAAAAATAATCATTAGTTTTACAATCATAAAGGTGGATAACTTTGATAAGATTTTATTTCCAATTGTGATTAAAATATTTATATTTTAGAGTTAGGTTATGTAAAACTATGATGAGTTAAACATGAAAAGTATATGATAATTTTTACTGATGTAAATAAAATGAATTTCTGTAAGTCTGATACTATTATAATTATCATTAGAATTCTCTGATATAAGTCAAATTGACATTACACCTTTAAATAACCCTAATCTCATAAATTATTTGTATATTTTTATAAATAGAAATATGTTAAAATTGATATAAATTAAGTAAGTGGATTTCAGTAATAAAACCATAACAATTAATAGATCTATAGAGTGAAATTATTTTAATCATAAAAGCTATGTTATTCAGATCTATCTGATACATTTATAGTTAGTAGTTGTGAATTATTAATTAACAAATGTAAACATGACCATTTTAACCTTTATTTAGCTCTAGTCTAGATAAAAAACATCTACTTGAAGAGTTTAGAATAATTATTATTGGTATAAACATCGGAAGATTTTAATTATTATATTATTATGATATACGATCAACCAGAACACTTTGGTCTATTTGAGAAAACATTCACAGCAAAAGAGAAAGAGGAAGTCAAATAATTCTTGAAATACGATAGACATGTTCCTTTGAAATTGACTGAATAAGTGTTCCATGCAGAAGCGTATATATTTAATTCTCTAAGATAGAGATGCATCGAGATTTGAAAGATTAGGATTAGTTGGAGGTGCAGTCTATTCATTCTCATTCTTCTTCTTTCCAATAATAAAAGGTTTACCAATTAAATAGAGATTATTTTGGGCTGCTGTTCCAGGAGGTGTAGTTGCATGGTTGGGATGGAGAATTAAAGAAGAATTAGAATGGAATAGAGTTTACAATTGCTATTAGAAATATCAAGTAGCTCATTCCATGCACAAGAAGGTGTTCATTTGAAAATATGGCAGGCACAAAATATAAATATATAAAACCAAAAATATCCAATTCAATAATTAATTTATCATGTTTTTTGAGTTAGACGACATCAGAAGAAGACATTCCTTGTATTTTGATTGTTATAATGCTGGTGTATGGACCGATGCTCCTGAAAAGTATATGATTGTTTACATAAACTAGTTCATGGAGATGGAATTATACTAGAGGAGCAATCTCAGGATTACTAGGAAGTGTTGTGGGTGAGGCCTGGCATAATTTTTATGAGAATTGGAAATTATTGTATAAAATCTATATAAGTTTTAAGGTTACGATCATACGAATAACCAAATACTGTGAATGAATTGTATAAATTTAGCAAAGCAACAGTCAATCTTGAAAATTTCAAAAGATCAATGGGCACTAGAATGTAATTTGCTTTTGCTTCAGGTGGCATTGATTGGGCTTTGAGATTAGCAGCATTTAGAGCAGTCAATCATGGATGGCAAAGTACTTGATTAAAATATTTAATTTAGGAACTTGGGGTACATTTGAATATGGGTTCTTGAGAAAAGTACCAGGCACAATGTTCATTTCCCTCCTTACAGCTCCAATTGGAATTCCCTTTGAAGTTGCTAGAATGGCTTATTATGCCGACAAAACATTCCCCAAAGAGTTGTAAAAAGGATATACCTCATTTTTCAATGCTTTATGGAGAATACCATTTGAAGAGGGACCCTATTATTTCTATAAGAATTCCTTCCCTCTTTTTGCAAGAAACTTCTTCTAAACATTAACTCTATTTTACTCTTTTGATTGGATGAAGGACAAGGTAAAGTTTAATAGATTTAGAATTATAGTTATCCGTCCTTACAAGAGTTGCAGAAATTCCATACTTCCCAGTTAAAGTTTTAAATTGCTTCTTATCAACATATTTGGCAATCTTGACAAGTTACTCATTGTCTTAAGTGACAAGAGAAATGGTAGAGTTATGGCCAAAACAAAATGGTGTATGTCCTTATGATGGCAATTATAGAAAAGCTGCTACTCATATTTGGTAATTAAATTTTATATTGTAAATTCAGGTATGCCAGAAATCTCAATAATTATTTCCCAGGAATGTTAAGAAATTATGCTAGCAGACAATTCTTGCCAATGTTTGTGACTCTTTGGTGGGCTGACTCTTTTGGGTTGTTTACTTATTGGAAAATAGATATGTTTAGCGGAGCAGGATCAAATACATGGGAAGATTCATTTTGCTGAAGTTTATAAATCAACATTAAATTCAAAATACAATATTATTTATTGTATATGCCGTTTTTAAATATAGTTTTTCTTAATAAATTAAATTAATGAAAACCACATTGCTTTTGGTATTAGTTGCTTGTGCTTTTGCCACAAATACAGCCATGTTTGATAGAATTGAAAGCAGCGATTTAGGAAGAACCCTTTTGAATACAATTGCTATTTAAATGACAACAGGTGAACCATTGGAAAGAATCTTTCAAACACTTTATGATTTAGAAGATAGATATATTGCTGACTAAAAGGAAGATGATGCTAATAATTAAGCCTTCTAATAAGTTTGTGATGCAGATTTGGCTGGCTTGAACTAAGAACTTGCCAATCTTGAATAAAGAAATACAGAATTACAAGCTGTTCTTGATGACCTCGTACCAATCAGAGACTAAAAGATCGGTTAAAAGAAAGCTAAGGAACTCTAAAAGGCTGAATTATAAAAGGTCATTGATGAAACAACTGCTAAGAGATAAGAATAAGCCGATGACTTTGAAGCTTAAAGATAAGAATATACATTTGTTTCATCAGTTTTGGCTGAAGCAAGAAGACTCTTCACAGATAACCTCTAAGCTCCATCCTTCTTACAAAAGGGTGAAGAAAAGGTTCACGTTACTCCATAAATTATGGCTTAAGTTGCTAGTCACATGAGTCAAGGTGCCCACAAAGCCAGCACAATGAAACATGTCAGAACCTTTGGAAAAGCCATCAAATTGTTAGCCAATCTTGCTAATAGAACCTAATAATTTGCTAACTAAGATTTAACAGGAAGAGTCATCAAATTGATCGATGATCTCTAGAATTAATTAAGTCAAGCATTCGATTTAGCCAGAAAAGCTGAAGATGACAGAACCAGAGCATTCTAAGCATATATCAGTTTACTCAATAAAGACATGAACAAATACAATTCATCAATTGCTAATTTGACTGCTGAAATCTAATCACTATAAGACAGAATCGATGCTACAACTGCCAGCTAAAACGATGTTCTTTAAAGAATCTAAGCCAAGACCTAATAAAGAGATGACAGAAGAGGTGAATGCTAAGAAGCTGCTTATGATTATTAATAAAGAAGAGCTGCAAGAGACAAAGATAGATAGACTGTCAGTGATTTGATTGGTATCTTGAACACTAACATGAGAGATCTTAAAGAATATATTGCTTTAAGAATTGCTGCTGGTGATAAGGATCTTGAATGAAATTGAAATATAATTATCGTAAAAGAGACTTATTAATGTTTAGAAATATATTCTATTTTTAAAGTTAATTTATTCTTATCTTAATATTATATTTAGTTAAAATTTAGGATTAAATTAATAAAATAATAATGAAAATCATTGAAAGAAATTATATTATCAACAACAAGAATTTTCAGAATCATTCCTATTCTCAGAACTTCCTATTTTAATTGCTGGTTTCTCTTCTCTTTTCTATAGTTATTATTACTTTTCTTTCTCATTCACTAAATCAGCAATATGATTGAATAGTTCCTAAAATATACGGAATCAATACAAAAACACCAATATTTTGTTTACAACTAGTTTCAAAAACTGTTATTTTTGGATCAAATGAATTAGCATATTGTTTAACCTCCTCTAAAGGGACCTGTGATTCTAAATCAATTTTATTCGCTATAATGAACTTGGCTAAAATTGAATATGAAATCAAGATTACTAATATCACTCAATCCTTCTTCAAATAATTTATCCAACCAAAATTTAAGTACTTCAAAAGATTTAGGTTTTGTTACATCATAAACAATAATTGCAAAATTAGCATCTAATCTATAACAATAGTTCAATACCCTTGTAATAGAGTTTAGCAATGCTTCTGTAAACTTCTTGACCTGCAGTATCCCAAATCTATAATTCTATTAATCTTCCATCTCTTAATATTTATTTAGGAGAAAATTCAGCACCCACAGTTTATGTTCTAGTATCAGTAAAATCATTTTTGGTGAATCTTTGTATCAAACTACTTTTGCCCACTGCATAGTCACCTAAAGTGACAATCTTACTAAAAATGGGTTTTTGCATATATATATATTTTATTTTATTATTTTATGTAATACTATCATTTTCAGAACTTGTCTAATGTGGATAAATCCTAAGGCAATTATTATAATTTGTCTGGATATTATTTAAGGATCTATTATAAAACCTAATCGAATAATAATAAGATAAAATACTTCATCGTCTGTTTGCTTTTTACCATCTGAAGTTTCTTCTTCATATTTAACAAAAGAGATTGCAACTCCATTAGTCTCTTATCTACCAGCTCTTCCTACCTAATAATTTAAATAACATGAGTACTCTATGTAAATAAGTTTCCAAAGAGTCAGGCATATCAAAATTGATGACGTAATTAACCTTATCTATATCAATACCTCTTCCCATGAGATTGGTTGCAACCAGTAATCTGAAATGTCCATTTCTAAACTATTCATAAGTCTTCTGTCTCATTTTTTAGTGATCCGGTCCCAATCTGTTACCACCATAGAGTTATCTGACTGAATCCTCTCCCTTCTTTTTGAGTTCAGCAACTAATGCATCAGCCTTTTCTGAGCTCTTCACAAAGATGATGCATTGATTTAATTTGCATGTATTTAAGATTTATCTCAAATAATGGAATTTAAGAGTTTCAGGCACTTTCAAATAGTATTACTTCAACTTATCCAAAAAGAGTTGTTCAGGTTTGATTGTAATTTCATAAATCTTGAAATAACATAATAATGTACATGTTTATTATCAGCTATGAACTTTTTGAGTGATGTTCTGCTTGATTCAGTAAAGGTTGCACTAAATGCCATAAATTATTTATCTTGTGGTGTACGTAAGAAGATGTCTTAGATGTCCTTTCTAAAAATAATTATTTCCAAAATTCAGCACCTCATATTTAAATCTTCTATCATTGTATCGGCTTCATCCAATATAAAGTACTTCAATCTATCTACTTTCAATGCTTTCTTCTCACAAATCAAATCCTTAAGACGTCCAGGAGTACTTCAATTAGACTCTATATTTACCCAACTACTATTTATGGCTTCACTGTTTCGATTGTGGATATATTTACAGTCACTGGCTCTCCTCCTCCATAAAAGCACTCAACTTTGATACTTTTCATAAACTTTCCCAATCTTAAAAACTCATCCCGAGCCTTTATATATACACATCTCATACTTATTGGGCTAACTCTCTTGTGTGAGTAATTACAAGACATTCCACTTTATTGCTTTCAGTGTTGATCGTATTCAGTACAGTTAGAACAAATACAGCTGTCTTTCCTGTTCCTGCTTTTGCTTGGCAAATCAATTGTTCCCCTTATAATGCATTTGTCAACGATTCCGCTTGGACTAAAGAGAGATAGAATCACCATAATTACCTCTAGTGGGATGCTCGAACCCGGCTTCTTTTACGGCTCGTAAGAGCTCCTCCTTTAGCCCAAAGTTTTTGAATTATGAGACATTGTAATTGTCATATTTTCTACGATTCTCAATATTTGCTCTTACTATATGTCCTATTTTGTTGGTTGTTATGGATCATCATAAAATTCAGGAATATCTTCTAATCCGCTCATTTGTTTAATAAAAAGATTTATATTTTAATATCCTAATTTAAATCAAAGCACTTTTATATTCTTTATTCATGAATATGATCCTGCATTTGCTTTTTTCAATTATCCATCTCAAAGCCACTCTAATCTTTTATATTCACCTCCACCTAAATTTCCCATCAATGTCCATTTTTATTTTTAGTCGCTGAAAAATTAATATAATTGGATTTTAAGCATTTAGACATTCATTTATATGTTTAAATAACTGTAAACAATCATTAAATCAACTCATAGATAACTAACTACAAATTTTCTATTTCTTAATTATTTGGATCTAGTTATTTAATAAAATCACAAATTTGTAAAGCCTTCTCATATTATCCAAGGTTTTTTAATGCATATGCTATATTAGACCTATTCTATACCGCTTAAAATTAGAAATTAGAAATTTGTTTTGTCCTTCCTGAGAATTTCATCGCAAATTTTTAAAGTTTTTTTTGGATTTTTTCCAAGCTCATTAAATGCTAAATGATTATTATTATTCATACCTTTTTAAAACTACTTATTAGACTCATCTTCAGATAAAATTTGCCCTAAAATTGATTTATTCTCAAGTTAACCTCTTAAGCTTACTATATATTTTTAATCAATCATTACATTAATATTATAACATTTATCTAATATTGGCTCCACTATCTTACAAATTCTATTGAAACTCTTGAATTCCACTTTACTTATTATTTATCAATTACAAGAGAATGGCTAAATTAATATGAACCTTGTACCTTTCATTTAGAGAGCCTCTATGTGAGAGGAATTTAAGCGCAAAACATGGTCTACACATTCTAAGCTTTGCTGAAGCTATTTAAGCTTTTGATAGATTTTTGCTAAAATATTCAAAAAACTACCTTTTTTGAAATAATATTCTTGCAATTAATCATTAATTGTAGTGCATTTATCATAATATACTAATGCTTCTTTAAATTTTCCTGTATTTAGCATGATATCACCTAAACATCAACATAAAATATACCAATCTTTCCGTAAGCATAATAATTAGTATCATCCATTTCTTTAGCGATCTCATAATTTTCAATTGCTTCTTCAAACTTCTTAAGTTCTAAATAGCTGTCGCCTTTTAATTGATCCAAATTTTACCTTTCATTAAAGAATATCGAACATCTGTTATATGAAACTTTTAGTAGGCATTGCATTTTGAAATACAGTCTTCGTACCTTCCTGCCCAATATAGAGAATTTACTTAAATTTAATAATTTATTAAAAACCTTCCTCGAAATTCTTTTAAGATCTATTATTTAAGCCACCCATTGATTAAAGTCGGCTCTAAATAAATTCATCAAAAGAAACTTTAACTCATAAAACGAAATACCTAAATTGTTAATTTTCCCTGTTTTATTCATTATGTATTCTAAATATGTTTTTAACCTTTCAAATTAGGGCTTAATAGATTAATCAATAATAGTTGTTATTAATTGAATGTTGATCATGTTAGTGATGTTCTATTCGAATTGTTAAATGTTTATGCTTGATTATTTATCAATTATAGGATAATATTATGTTTCATACCATTCCTTAAATGATTTAAGCACAGGAAATATCTCAAGAATTGATTCTAATTTTTTCGTATTTTCTAAATTCAATGAAATGAATGATTCAGACCATTAAGGATATTCTTTTAGTTTTTTGCATTCGTTTGTATGATCACAATGATATTAAAGTAAACAATCAACACAGAATAAGCGAAAATTATTGCATTTTGGATAAGGGCAAAATCCTTATATTTATTCATTATTATGTAAACTATATCGGCAATTTAACAGAATATTGGAATCCATTGAGATTGTGAAAACGTTTATAATATTTCAATATTAATAATATATCATTTTGTCAATTATTATAATTCATCATTAAATTATTCTATAAACTTTGGGATGAGTATAAAACATTGGATTGAAATAATTTACAGAAAATATTTTAGAATAAATTGAACATAATTAAGATTTTTACGATAAATAGGAAATAATTAGTAAGAAATAAATACTTCAAATTTTACATAAATAATAAGTTTCAAAATACGAATAGAATCATAGAACAATTTTTCAAGTAACACATTTAACTCATCTAAAATAAAACAAGTAATATGGATTAGAGTCAAGATTACTAAAGAGACATTTAAAAAATAAAATTTTTATTTGTTTAAATTTCCTAAACATCAAATAGGTTAAGATAAAGAATTTTAATCAATCAAATTAGAGGCTGAATAATATGTTTAATTTAGTTAATTTGATTTTTAAAGTTGGTTAAGTTTATATAATTTTTAGAAATAAGTATCAATAAGTTAAGTTTTTAAACATAACTTAGAATATGAATAAAAATCAATAAAAATAGGAAAGTTTTTGTTGTTGAATAAGATTTGAAAATTGATGGCAAAAGGAAGCAATAATATTTAAACTTAGATTTATTGATAAAAGTATTTTAGTAGAAATCACTATCTCTAGAAGCCAAAATATTTTAGAAATACTACCTAGTTTAAAGCATATCTTTATTCAGAATTTTAATTTTATGAAGACTAGATTTGAATTAATATATAGAGAAATGTATAATAATTATAAAACTTTTAATAATTTAAGGAAGTTATAATCCTTGGCAAACATTGAACAATTGAAAATGAGAACGTCATCTTATATTTTTCATCCTTAAATTTGTATTTAAAGCAATTTATAATTACTTTTCCTATCAAAATGATATAAAGAGGTCTGAGTTTTTGATGACAGAATTGAGAATACTAGACATCATAGTATTCAATAAGTTTAGCTAATATAGTTAATTGTCTTTAAAGTTAGTAGCTAAGGAGTTTGAGTGAAATGATAATAATTTATAAGGTAAGTTGTCTTAAATCAAAAGATTTAAAGAGATATTTTAAATTCTATTAAATTTTAAATAATAATTATTATGTTGGTAGAACATGATTATTTATTTATTGTTGATTGAGCAGCTCTAATACTTAGAATGTAATAAGAAATTTAATAAAATTATTTATTCTCTTTGGTATTGTTAAAATGAGGATATATTATAGAGGAATATGATTAAAGTCTAGATTTTATTCATTACTAAAGGAATGAATATTTATATTGCCAAAAGATCTTTCTTTAATAATGAAATCACATGGAAATGCATATTCACAATTGATTACATACTTGTACGCTTATTTAGCCTTAAATTTACAAATAGAATAAGAGTTAGAATTGAGAATATCAGAAAATTCTATAAATTCTGTAAAACAAGAAAATGTAATGAATACCAGCAAATAATAGTCCATTATATATATTCAATCCATTACATGAATGAAAAACCACGAAACCCTAAAAAACACCCAATTTGTGCGTTAATAAAAATAGTGTAAATAATTTAATTATCATCCTATAAACAATAATTTAAATATCAATTTTTTTAAAGAGATTTGATGGAGATGCTGGAAATTCATTTTCTTCATAATCCTATGATCATAATATTGAAACTAAAATATTGAGTAAAAATAAGAATGACCCAATTTTTAAATGAATAATTTGAATTCTAATATACCTCAATCATCATATAGCAAATTTTGGTTGTTTATCAATTAGATTTAGTGATGGAAGTGATTAAATAGAATATATTAAGGTCTTTACTAGTATTAAAAGAGTTGATGCCATTGAAGTTGGTATTGTCTAATTGTAATAAACAATTGTATATTTGTAATAAACAACAATTAGAAATTAATTTGATTCTGTTTAAATCCAGTTTATATATCTTTCATATAGCTTATTGTCAACAAATTTCTAGATCGCTTGAAGTATGTCGTTATAAATGATTTAGATCAATGTTTTCAAATATTAAAGAATTTTGAGATTTATGATTCTTAAACACTCCTTTAATTTGAATACACAGCTTAAATAGACTAGCTGAATGGTTTCAAGAGGGTATTTTAGTAATGAATGACTGCCATATACTTTAATTCATGAGATATCAAATTCGAAGGAGTAACTCAGTTATTGATATATTTGCAATCATCATTAATGGATTTATAGTTCCTTCATAACGAACATATAATTTATTTAAATAGTTTCATATCTTTGTATAAAGAATAAGACTAATGATGTATCATGAATAATGAAAAAGATGCTCTATGCAATTCTCATCTCAAAGTCCAAACTTATCAAAATTTTAATTGAAGGATTAATGATTTATTGGCCATTCCTAACTAAGGATATCAAGTCCTTTAGTTCTTTAATGATTAATTGGAAATCTTGTCAACTTGTGAAATTCAAAATTGGAAATCCTAATTCCAAAATTATGTTAACGTTAAATTAATTAGCACAACCTAGTTAATCGCCGGTAGTAGGGTTATGTGCTTATTTGTGAATGATTTATTTTAAGTGCTTGTAGCTCATTCAAAGTCGATTATTATATAGTTCTATAAGAGCTTCTGTTTCTTTGAAAATTATTCTTAAGGAGATAGGTTACCAAGCAGTTTGATACAGTCTTAACTGACAAGGACTTCATGTACTTCTAAATCACTTAAATTCAAAAAAATAAAAAGAAAATCAAAAGATGTAATTATCTATATAAAGTTAGTTTTTAACTTACCAAATAACTATGACAGAAAAAGTCCAAATTTCAAAAAGCTACATGATCCTGATCTAGAGGCTTTCAGAATTGGACAATATAATGGTTTTAATACTTATATTATGGCCATTTAAGATCCATAAAACATATTATTCATAATATTTAAAATAATTTTAAATAATGGAGGTTTGGTGTTAGAACTATTGACCTTTTTCTAAATTAAATTATATTTTCCCAACAAAGACTGAATATTTTCATACTTATTTTATCAATGACTAATTTACATAAAAAGTATCTAATCAAAGTTTAAAATGGATTCAAACCTAATAGTCTATTATTAATTAAATAAATAAAATTTGTTAAAGTGTAAATAATCGAATGGAAAGCAATAAATTATAGGAACTATAGACATCATATATGTAGATGGAAAGAAGGCTACAACGATTAAAGCTAGGAAAAAAGTATAGGACATAGATCCAGAGGGATTATTCTTCATTTTTTGAGCCTGATGGGAAACCTTTGCTTTAAATAAAGCCATTCATATTATACAAATAGGAAGGAGATATTGATTAATCTTTTAAGTAGTAGTATGAATTATTGTGCTAATTATACTAATCAACAAAACTATTGTAGGTTGACTTCAAGGAAGTAGCAACTAAATTGAGAACTAAATTAGAAGGTAAGCCTAACCTAAATAATACTAATACATAATGTAATAACATAGAATTAAAAAGTAAAAAAATCGGAAAATCTACTTTATTGAATTCCCGTTTCTGTAAATTTAAATTATTTATGAAAAATAATAGATTGAGGTAGACATAAATTCTAATCGAAAAACTTGCTTAGATTTCAAATTAAATGCTTTCATTATAAACAAAATTTGTAGAATTAAATTTTGAAAACCAAAAATCAATAGAAATAAAAATATTTATTAACACTGATCTTATGTTAAATATTACCAACGAAGAGGATCACAAAAATGATAAAATCTAAGTCAAAATGGAGAATTCAGATTCTAAAATAGAAGAAACAAGGATTTTGAATCATTCATGTTTCTTTAAAAATGAGTAAATCATTTTGAATTAAAGAAAATCCCTAACATACATTAATGAAAATTTAGAATAAAAGCCTCCTTTAATCAATAGGTCAAAAAAAATTAGTTTTAAGGAACTAGTATAAAAAATTGATCTAGAAAATAAACTAAATGAGAAAAAATAATCAAATATGTAAAAATTAGGGTCAGAAATTAAAAATCAAGAGTAAAAATTAAATAACTACACATAAATAAAATAGGAAGAGGTCATTATAAATAATCAAGATTATCTGATACAAAACGAAGAGCAATAAAAAAAAGAAAAATAAGTAATATAAAAAATTTAGTCATTTTATCCTTAAGATCAATAGGAAGTGGAAACTCCTGATAAAATACAAGGAATTACAAATAAAGCATCAGGTATTGAAAATACTAGAATGGATTATGACAGCATAAGTAAAGAAAAAAAATCAACAATAATAAATATAGACTTTTAAGATAATACGTTTGATGAACAAGATAGTTGTCAAATTATCTTTATAAATTAACCAAATTAATAAGACAATCAGAATGAATTCAACTCTAAAAGAACTGGCTAAAAAGATGTGGTAAATAATTAAGACCAATAAGATGTTCTAGAAAAATAAAGGCTATTAAGAGACGAAGAAAATTCAAATAGATTACGGATTAAGATGAGATTTTTACTCTTTAGAAAATACATTAATTTTATAAAGAAAACCTCTAAAGCGTCTTACGATAGAGATATAAATTTAAGAAACAATAACGATAATTAGAATGCTAATAATAAAGGGACATAAGAGAACAAAAATTAAGAGATTTAACTCAATTAAAGGTTTAGGAGAGAAAAAGATAGCGAGAAATAAAAAGGAAAATCAAATTAGAGAAAGAATTAGAGGAGAGAAAATCTAAATAAAAAGAGAAAGATAGGATAAATGAAATGAAGAAATAGTAATTAGAAAATAAAATATAAAAAGAGTAGTTAAAATAAAAGCATATCTAATTTTTCAAGGAGCGCAATAGAAAAGAAAGAAATACTTCTAAAAATAGATCTTTCAGTTCATAATCATGTATAGAATAATTCCAAAAATTTCCTTCAAACCTCAGAGATGAAAATAGTTAAGTAAATAATTACAAAAAGGAAGAATAATATTTAGATCCTTAACTCTGTGCCAATTAACATTTCTGTATTTCTGAATAATAATAATCACAGTAAAATATAAAAGAAGATAATAAATGTTAAACAGGATAATAAAAATAATAAATAGAGGACTCAAATTTAACTCCTTACTAATATCACCCTTAATTTGCTTAATATTATCCTTTTAATATTTTAAACTATGGCTAATAAGATTAATTTTCATAATTTTAATTCCCTTTTGCTCAGCAACCTTATTCTTCTTTCATAGGAAATCCTTTCTTCTAATATTAATGTAAGCCTATAAATTTGATTGAACAATAATCCACACCATATAAAATTGATGGATAGCATAATGTAAATACAGCTCAGTTGCAATTAGAAATGATTAATTTCTTGAAAATTGGTTTAGAACATCTGAATCCTACTTAATTTTTTTAATTCTCACCTTAGACTTTTTTACCTACTGAAAACTCAAAGGGATAATATAAGATTGAATGAGAATATCATTTAAAAACATTATTATTATTATTTGAAATAATGCTGCTTCAAATTAAATTTCTTTTTATCATAGAAAATTTTATTTTCATATCTGATTATTTTCTCCATATCTTTATTAAAGTAAAAAGTGGATTAACAGAAACTAAAGATTCATTTACCAAAATTAGACAATAATTTATAAAATAACCTCTGATTTAGATATAATATAATTTATCTAAGTGCAAATTTAAATATTATTTTTGATTTGATTTATATGATTAGATAGGCTACTAATTTGATTTTGGAGTTTTGTAAATGTAACCAATTTATGAAGATTATCATCTAAACTTTTTGGAGAATTTCTTAATCCATTGTCTTTTATTTATCAATAATTAAAATAACATTAAAAGAAATTTATAGTAAAATAAAATTGTAAATGAGCCTACAATTTAATTATCTTGTTACAATATTTTTTAAATTAGACTAAATACTTTTTTAGGGTTTTGGAAAATTGTAAGAGAAAAATCTTAAATATAGGCCTAAAAAGGCTCAGTTAGAATGATAAGTTATATAAATAAGAAAATAAATAAAGAGTATTTGAATAAAATGTTATTAACAATAAGATATTTCAAAAATTTTAAATTAAATTATCGATATGATAATATGGCTTTTTTTTTAAGCAATTGTAAAGCTAAAATAAAATAGTGGTTTAGAAACTCAAAATATCTTCAATCTTATTGGCTATATTTTTTTACTCATATTATTAAGATCAATTTGTTTTGAGCCTGGAAATTATTTAGCATTAATTAGATATTAGATGTAATGTATAAATTATTATGATTTTCGATACTTTAATTTATTTGTAAAGCTTTTTCAAATTGTATTCTTTCACTCTCAAGCATAATTCATTTTTTTAGAGTTTCCTTCTTAACTTAAGATGAGATTATCAAAAAATTCATTAATTATTTGACTTGTGTTGAATATCCTATTTTAAAATCAGTTTAATATTTCTCTTAAAAAATCTATTAAGCCCTCCTTAACTTAATAATTTTGTAAATCGATCTATACTAATATAATGCATACTTTTCTTTAATTTTTATCTGTATATGTGGTTTCTAAAAATATTGATTCCTTATTTTAAAAGAGTTTTCAATTTTTTTCTAGTATTTTTGCAGTCTTCAGAGAATAGTAATACTTTATAAATAAAACTATTAAATAAAATGCAAATACTCTTTTTGATGATTTAAGATTACGATTATTTTAAATAATAAAATATTTAGATTTCAATGAGATAATTTTACTTTGAATCAATAAATTTATACTAACATTAGAATAAGACAAATGATAAAATTTATCATCTTTATTTATAAATTGACAAGTACGAATCAATAACTTTATAGATTTTATCATTGATTAAAACTTGAGAAATAATTAATTAAATAAATTTATATTATAAACTTAACTATTATTAGTAAATTTTATCAATGAAATGCGTAATGAAAATCAAAAATATCTTAATTTTAATTAATGAAAAATATCCAATTGGTATTATTAATTGCCTTTTTTGGGCTTGCTTCTGCAGATATTATCATCAATAAATCAAAAAGATGCGAGTGTTCGTCATTTATCAAATCAGAGTGTGATAAATGGTATGATTGCAAATGGAATGAATCCTCTTGCCTAAAAAAAGAATGCAGTGATTACGCAACAGAAGACAAATGCACTGGAGATTGCTAATGGAAAGGTGGAAAGTGTATTGATGTGAAGAAAGAGTGTGAAAACATGCCAACTGAAGAAAGCTGTTCAAACATGGCTGGATGTGGTTGGAAAGATAACAAATGCATTGAATTTACTTAATGTTCAGATTTCATTGTAACAAAGGCAGAAAGATGCTCTGTCTTGTAGGGTGAAAATGGAGAGAGATGTTAAGCTAAAGGAGTTAGTGTGACCACTTTATTCTACAAGCATTTAGCTGTTGCTGCTGGATTTTAATGTGAAAACAAGGTGTATGTTGATTGTTCTAAATTTGTTACTGAAGCAACATGCAAAGGAGTTGCAACTGCAACTGCCAAATGCTAATGGAAAAGCGATGGTAAATGTTATGCATTTGAATTGAAAACATGCAGAGATGCTGATGGATTTAATCAAATGTGTGATCCAAAATATTGTAAGAAAGATGGATAAATATGTGTGAATAAAGCATGTTCTGATATTACTATTTAAGCCTAATGTATGTCTCTACCAAAGATTGACAGCAGTAAATCCACCTTATGCAAATGGGGTGCTGATAATAAATGTGCAATTGCAACAGACGCTACTCATTTGAATGAACAAACATGCAATGATGTAACCTTCGGTTCTTATCATTGGGTCACAGATACTTGTCAATAATGTTCTTCCAATTGGATTCTATCAATTATGTCATTAATTATCTTGGTTGTCCTTATTTGAATGATTATTCATTATTAATAGAAAATAAAAGATATAAATTTATTACCAATTTATATTTATATATAAAATTTTTTATTTTTTTGTAGTTATTTATAAAAAATATTAGTTTTTTTATAATTATTCAATTTTATTAAAATTGGTAAGATATTTAACATATTTTTATAAAATTATTAATTAATATAATATATAAACAATTAATTTTATGAGATTTGCATCGTCAATTAATAAATACATTTTTATAAAAAAATCCTTCCATTTTAATTAGAATTAGTGTCTGTAAAGAAGTGTATCAATCGAGTTCTATTTGGGAGACTATCGCTGGAGCTCCAGGATTTGTAGCTGGAATGCATAGACATTTAAGATCATTGAGAAGAATGAAAATAGATCAAGGATGGATTCATACCTTATTAGAAGAAGCAGAAAATGAAAGGATTCATCTTTTGACTTTTTTAAAGATTAAAAAAACCCTCATTATTATTTAGAACTGGGGTAGTTTTAGCTATTTGGTGATACCTATAAGTTCTGTCCTAAAGTCTGTCATAGGATTGTTGGATACTTGGAAGATGTGGCAGTTAAAACCTATAATCATATGATTCATTAAATATAAAGAGATGGTAGTCCACCAATTCATTAATGGACTCTTCGCAAGGCCAATCACCATTCTATTGAATATTGGGGATTAGAAGATGATGCCACTCTATTTGATGTCGTTAAAGGAATAAGAAAGGATGAAGAACATCATAAAGATATAAATCATTTCTTTGCTGATGACTACACCTAATTCAAATAAAATTCCTTTCCTCCTGGCAAATGATTAGTTTTATATAATAATAATTTTATATGATGTTTTTCATTTGTGAAATGTTAATACAGCAAATTCTTAATAAATTTCGATTAATAAAAAAAGTCTCCACTATTTTAATTAGAATATTATTACTATCATTTTAAACTATTTAAATTGAGTTTAATTTCATAGGATCTCTTGAAATTTTATACTATAAGAATATATTTAATAAATAAGATTCTTAGAAAACATTTAATGTAATAGTTAGGTTTTAGAATTGTTAACTAATTAAAATACCGACAATATAATTTTATTATTGATATAGCCATATTAAATAACTATACATGAATAATATATAATTGCATATATTAAATTATTAGTTAATTAATTAGATTTCAACTGTTGACTTGATAATCAATCCATAATCTCGTGACATTATCATACATATTTACAATTTTTATGAAGCAACAGGAATATTCATTATTTTTAATATTTTTATCTATTTCCAAGACATTAATACCCTAAGTATAGTATATTAAGATCAAAATAAAAGTTAATAAATAAAAACGCTTTAGAAATAGTAACAATATATAAGAATGATTGAATGATTTTATAAAATTCTGGATAGGGAATAATTATTTTTATATATATAAAATATCCCAGGTTTAGTTAATTGGGAGGCTGCGAGGTTTAAATTTAGAAGGATCTAGTGATTGATTCATTGTATATTTAGAAAAGAATATTTATAAGAAATGGACACTAACTCAATTTTGAATTAATATCAGTAGTTGGTTAAGGTGGATTCGGTAAAGTCTATAAAGCAAGACTAATAAAAACACGTAATTTAGTTGTAGCACTAAAAGTTATGTCAAAAGTTAGGTAATTAGTTAAATATATAAGAAGAGTAATACAGAAAAAGAGTGTGAGTTCAGTTATGAATGAGTTATAGATTTTATCAACCCTCAGACATGAGTAATTATACTTAGATAATTCTAGATTTATCATTAATATAATCAGCGCCTTTTAAGATCGTTGTTCCTTGTATTTAGCTATGGATTTCTTGGCTGGAGGAGATTTAAGGTTTCACTTATGCAAATTTCGAAAATTCTCTGAGACAATTACAAAGCATATTGCTATTTGCATAATTATTGGATTAGACTACATACATTCCAATGGAATAATACATAGAGATATCAAACCTGAAAACTTAGTATTTGATAGCTAAGGTTATTTAAGAATTACAGATTTTGGTATTGCCAGAATATGGAAACCATAAAATAGTCATGAAACAAGTGGCACTCCTGGGTACATGGCTCCAGAAGTAATGTGTAGATAAAACCATGGAGTTGCTGTAGATTACTTTGCATTGGGCATAATAATTCATGAGTGTATTGTACATTATTGTTTTTATTTAGCTGGGAAAACGACCTTATACTGGAAAGAGTAGACAAGAAATTCGAGATTAAATTATAGCCAAATAAGCTGCAATTACTGAAGTTCCTTAAGGTTGGAGTGCTGAGGCAATTAATTTTGCTAATGCTTTAATGCAGAGGAAGCCACAATCCAGATTGGGATGCAATGGACCAGAAGAAGTGAAGAATCATCCATGGTTCAAAGATATCAAGTGGATGGAATATGAAAAGAAACATATAAGTTCTCCTTTTATTCCTGATGAAAAACTGGAGAATTATCTAAAATCCAATCAACTTGAGTCTCTTGAAGATTAATCAATTCTCCATTCTGAACAAGTGTAATGTAATTATGTCAAAAATCATAGAATAATTTTTTGGGTATGAACATTTGCATCAACTCAATGGAATACCTCCATGTGTATCACAAATAGTTTCTCCAAGAACTCCAAACTTAAGGATGTAGCTTAAGAAAGAGTCATGATTTTAATCTAATTATACACCACTATCTATTTAGTAACATAATTTTACTTAGTTTCAGAATTATTAATTATCAAAGAATTTTAATTAATTTAAATTGTAGAGAAATAATATATATAAAATCAAATTGAACGATATTTTACTTCAGTCTTCTTATATTTGATTAACATCTGGTTAAATTTCAACTGATTATAAAATCCATGATAATGAATGCAGTCTTTCTTATGAAATCACAATTTTTTTGAATTAAAAATTCGGTACTATTTGACCACATATTTGGGATAAGAGCATTGTTTTCGATTCAACAAAGTGATGGAAATGATATTTCAACTCCTAAATTGAATAAGAAATGGATTTTAATAAAATTTTTTTCTTAATCGTATATAACATATCGATAATGCAAACTATTCTGAATGCGTTTCTTTACCTCTTTTTATATAGTATAAATAATTCAGTCATATTAATTGAATCAACACGTGAATAAAACATATAAAAACTTATATATCATCTAAAATGATTGTCTACTCGAGTAATTAAGCTAAGCATGATGTCTGTTACTTCCGGGTAGAAATTCATGTCTTCCAAAAAATTTTTTATTTCGTCACTTTGACTTTAACACAGAATGCTATCCTCTACAACGTAATTCAGATGTTGATAGTTACTATAAAATAAACAAGATGTATACCTTCCAAGGATTAAGTCCCAATTATATCGTAAAAACTTATAATACCTATTTTTTACAGCATTTTAACTTCTATCCAAAAAAAACTAAGAAATTATTTAAAACCTTGGGCCATGTTCAATTACGAGATTTAAGATTTTTTCATCTTCTTCGAAAGTAAATGGAGTGTGTTTTTCGAAGACGAGATTTTTTCTGTTCATTTTTTTTCTTTTCTTTGTATGAAAATCACATTTTTTTCTCTTTGTGATTCTTTTTTTACTTTTTGGAAGACTATCTAGAACTTAATCCAAACTATCTGTTTAAGAAGGTAGTGGCCCATCTAAATACATGAGAATCGGAGGATTTTCATTGGATGTTTCATCAAATTCCTTCGATAATAGAGAATATGAAATTTCATCGAAAGATTTTGTTTTTTACATCTCAAATATAAATAAAATTAAGTAATATTTGTTAAAAGCTTAAATACCATAAATATTAAGATTTTAAACAAATTTCAAATATTAATTTTTACAAGCTCTCTTCAGTTGGTAAAGAATTTTATTAATTAAATTGAATTTATATAACTTTTAGAAGATAATTTATATATAGCTGAAGCGGTAGACACTCAATTAATCGAATTAAATAGGAATTTTAGTGTTGATTTTATTAATTAAACATATCAGTAAATTTTATTAAAAAGAATTTAATCTATATTTTTTCTCCAAATGTTAAATTGTAAAAAGACTCCACAAAAACATTCAAATCTGATATTCAAAATTTTATTAACTGAAGAGCTTTTAGTTTAATTTGTAAATTAATTCAATAAGCAGCCAATTTAAATTTATTAATAAATTATAATCGTATATATATTTATAACGATTTAATATCGACATGATAAACTCCGTTAAATATGATCTATGAAAATAAAGTAATTTAATCTATAAATTCAGAGGTAATTTTTTCAACTAATAAAATTTAAAAAATATTCTGTTGATGCTAAATATTTTCTTTTTCTTGATGGGATATTCTAGTTCTTGAAAAATAAAAAAAATCCTTAAAGTTGTGTTTTATAAAGAATTTATGAAACAAACTATGTCTATGTCAACTAGAACTATAAATCAGATTAATATAGTTTATCCTTTATACATTGTGATCGATAGGTAATTTGGAATTTTCTTATTTTTCTATTGTAAATTGAAGTTATATAGGCTTATTAATCATAAAGTAATCCAATTAACACATTTTATTGAATATATTATTCTAAAATATCCTTCAAATATACTACTATTTATCTTCATTATTGATAAAAATAAACCAAAAGGGCAAAATTTTTGATTTTTACATAAAATGCACCTTATTTAAATTAAACAATCATTATTATTCTAATAGAAAAATTAAGTAATATGATGTATTATTCTCAATAAACATCATGGGATCAGAAAGATCAACTAAATTATTGTTTTCTTTTAAAGATTAATTAAATAATGATCTTATTTGCTCCATTTGAATATTGATTTGGACATATTTAGGAATCTTAATTAATTTGTTTGGAGAATGTAATGGCTTAAAATCATATTATTATTTTTCTTCTTAAATAATATATAATAAATTAAAATATTTATATAGGAGATAAGTTAATCTATAATAAATAATAGAAGTTTTTTGAATTTAAATACATAATTCAAAGCTTTTAAGTGCCAAATCAAAGCAAATTTTGATGTAATACAGGAGTGGAGATTATTTCTTTTGGGATATCCTGTAAAACGAACAATTTTTTTTAATAAAAAAGTGAAAAAACGCTTTAAAAAAATAAAATTAATCGAACAAGTCTTTATTTTAAAATGGTTGATTGAGAAAACTAAGCAAGAGGTTTAGGAAATTGAGTTTTCTTTATTTTATATTTATAAATATCAATTGAGAATAGTTATGCGGGAATAAAATAAAAACCTTGAGATTTTGATCTAGAAGTTATAAAATCCTCATTTCTTATTTTAGTACATTATCTAATTTTTTTAATTAGTATTGAATTATACTTGATATAGGTAGAGTCCTTTAATTAAAATATATTTGTAAAAAATGATAACTGAACAAATTATATTGGACACTTATACGTGAAATAATAAATAAATATTCACAACTCTTAATTCTAACCTCAGATTTAGACATTGATTTTTTGATTTCTGAAAATCTAAGTTTCATCTCTATAATTTATTTGGTTAACATTTTCAATTTTGGACCCTGTGTCTTCATTAAGATAAGCATATGATCTTTATTAGATTAATATTTACTCTCCTAAAACGGAATCCCATTTATATCGTAGCATTTTATAATATCTATTTTTAACCATATTGATAGTTTTTGTTGGGAAAAATTTAGCTATTTTCATAAACTTAGGCCCAAAATGAAGGACATAGAGTAATATTGATTAGTCCTCTTATGGGGAGAATGGGATGGATTATTAAACTTTCTCTATCTACTTGGTTTATATTAATTTTTACCTAATTCTTTGACTATCTTCTCTTCCTCTTCTTAACAACATCAGATTATTTCTTTCTCTTTTTTCTTGGCTTTTTCAACCCTAAGATTGGATAATCATTATTGCAATAACAATTGTTTTACTAAAGATTGATTTCATCATAGTCTTTTTAAGCAGCTATTCATGTAAATTTGAATATTTACAGATTTATGGGTACTCTACTATGCTCTCTTATAAAAAAATGGACATTTATGATTCTTAGAAGAAAATGAGTGGGGATTCAAGATTCTCTTAAAATTTTGTAACTATTTCTACCTTAATAGATAATGTGGGCATTTTCATGTAGCATAGTGGGTCTAAGTAAATTGTAAGAACTAATATTTTATTAAAATTTGAACTTTTTATCTTTAACTTTGATTCTATTTTATACTAAAACTGATTATTAAGATTTTTGTGAATAATTATTGATAAACCATAAAATATTAAAGTTTAATTATTTTTAATTGCATTATCATTTATTATCCTTATTAATCAATAAGTAAAATTAAGTACCTGACATATTTTTATTTAACATAAACTGAATTCCAATCTCTTCAAAAGTTAGATGGAGTATCATGTCTAATTCAACAACTCTTATGGAAATATCAAATTAATCATACTTTTCTCAAAAAGGCAATAGAACCCTAAAATTTAATGTATTAGAGGAGAAACCTAATCAGCAATTCTGAGTGAAAAGTTGATATCAGTTGAAAGAATTGAAATTTAAATTATAAATATAAATATTTTATATATTTTCATGTCTTCTCATGATGTCTATTAAAGAAAAGATTATCTAAATAGAAAATCAACGATAATTATACCAAAGAAATCGCGATTTGATAAGAAATGCGAAGTTTTGTAGAAGCACTTAGAAATATATAAAACATTTATAAAAACATTGTTAGGATTTGAGTTAGAGGAAGATGAAGACCTCAATTATAATTGCATACTCATGAACTTCAAGAAGGAACTCAAAGAAGCTATGGAAATATTCCCTGACTGCGTGATAAGGTTTCACTATCAATCATAATTTTAATTAGTTTAATAAACCCAGACTTTAAATAACAGAATGAGAATCAAAATTAATATTTGGTTAATACAAGCATTGAATTGTTTGAATTACTATAATCAGGATTGAGAATAAATTAGAAATCATTAGAGGATCTATTATTATTGAAAGCTATTGAGTCAATCTATTTTAATTTGCCTGTATATGATCATTATTATCACAAAAAAAAGGAATCCACGGCTATTTTTACTGAAGATAATCAAGAATAAAGAAAGTTAAGGGATAAAGAAAACCAAAAACAAATTTTATTAGCAGACAAATCAGACATTAGGTATAATCAAATTGACAAAAATGGTACTTAAACATAATTAGATAGAAATAATTAAAAACTACGTATCTTAATTAGAAAAATAGTTTCATAATTTCCTTTAATAAGATATACATGCAAACATAATGGATTGTTTAACTTTAAATTTTAAGGAATTGAAACAGACACCATTAAGAAGATGGAAAGGAGGTCAATTTTTGGAGAATCAAAATGATTTGTGGCTTAGATCAAGTTCTCCTACTCAAGATGTCTCTACTTTGATTAGAAATGCCTTGATTATTAAACTGAATAAAGTAGGGTTTAATGTTCAATCATTTATATCTGAAGATGGCCAAAAGTTCTTTGTGATGCTTAATATGCAAGATTCAAACCTTAAAATAGTTGCTGATTAAGGCCATGTATTAAAATAATTGAATTTTTGGTTTACAGATTTGTTTTCCTTAGAGCCAGTCGACAAATCGTTTAGACCATTAAGAATTAACAATAGACTGTGGAAGCCTTAGGATTACGAGGTTTCAGATTTGTTCTTGTATTTAAAGCCATAAATGATTAAATTAATTTAACAAATAAATTTTAAAAGAATAGCTAGAGAAACAAATCAAAGTTCAATTAATTCATAATTATTTGAATATGGAAAATTGGATTTTAGTGAGAAAGACGATGGTCCAACTGATGAAGAATGGATCGCCTATCATAAATATTTGACTCACTTAGAAAAATGTATTAGACAATTTAGATAGAGTTAGTTGATAGATAATGAATTAGCTGCTTTACTAAATAAATAAATAACTCCTCTGTAAATTTATCAGAAACGAAATTAATCCAATAAAGAAATTCAAAATTTGAATTACTAAAATTTGCATGAGCCTAGATATTATGAGCATCTGGAAATTATTAATCAAATTGAGAAATAAGCAGAAAGAGTTATGGATGAATTTTCTAATTTTTAATTTTCATTACAAATTCCCAAAGTAAAGGCACTAAAATTATTGAAAAAAGAATCAGTTTCTTTGAATTATCTCTACTCATTTTAAGAGGCTCTTAGAGTTGCAAATGGGGAGTAAATTAAATTATATAACTTATGGGAAAGATCAGAAATGCCACCATTTGATATGTATCATCCTTATCAAATGCCTAACAAATAAAATACAAAAACATAATAAGCAAAATAAGAATTAAGCTGGACGAAATATGTTAAGAATGAGAACAATGAGATATCACTATTTTCATCTTAAGAGAGATTAAAATTAGTTTATCAAAAAGTGTTCCAAGAAATAGATCTCAGTATAATGCATTAATTAGGTATCATTAGATAGATATTCTGTCTAAATGATAATTATGAATTATTTGGATAATGTAGTAACATATAGGCTTAGATAACTTTGGACACAAGATTTTTTAAGAAGAAGTCATTCTAATTGATAGATGAATGGAAACTTGATTATTTGAGACCTTGGATTAGTCCTTGTGATTTAATTTGTGGATATTACGGAGAAAAGATTGGTCTCTATTTTTACTTCATGAGCTATTTTACTGAAATGACTACTCCCATTGCTATATCAGGTCTTGCATGTAGTTTGATCTAATGGATAATCTGGGATAATGAAAGTGACTTTTATATTTTGATTACTATGATATTTGCCTTTGTTTAAATATAATGGAGTAATGTCTTTACAGATTTATGGAAATAAAAACAAATCTTTTTTAATTTAAAATATGGTTAAAATAACTAAGATTAATAATAAGTTTAAAGATCGAAATTTAAAGGCAAACACATAAGATCTTTAGTTAATGACTAATTAAACTCTATTGAAGTATTATTTGGTGAGTATTTGAAAAGAACCTTGATTAGCTCTATGTTACTGTTTATTTTTATATTATTTTATATCGGTATCATAGTCTCCTTATTCGTATTTACAGTCTATTTGCACAACAAATACTCAGAGGAACTTAAATAGATGGATGTTGCTACAATAGAAGTCACATCTGCTGCAGCTATGAATTTCATAGCTTAATAGCTTTTTGATATTATCTTTGATAAAATTTCTAGTTAATTAACCGAATATGAGAATTACAAAACAGTTGATGCATATGAAACAAGCTTTGTATTAAAAAAATTTATTTTTTAATTTTTCTCTTATATTGCTCCACTTTTATTTTTAGATTACTTGAATAGACCATTAAATTTGTATTGTTCAATAACAAATTGTGAAAGACATGTTAAGTATTACTTTTCAACAATAGTTATTTTGATTTTGTTTAAGTAAATTGTGAAATTTGGTATTTTTTTATTTAAATTAACAAAAATTAAAATAAAATGTTATGATTACAATGAAAATGAAATAATGGATTTTGTTGAAGAGTAATCATCAAGATAACCTTACTCTGAAGATTTCGAGAGATATGGCACAATGCAGGATTATATGGAATTATTTGTACTGATATCTTTTTTAAGTATTTTTGGATATACATTTCCATTTAGCTTTTTCATTTTATGGATTTCAAATATAATGTAAATATAAGTTAAGAAAAACACATTCCTTTATTATATACAAAGACCATGGCCTAAAAATGAATTTTCTTTAGGAATCTGGAATAATTTTCTAGAAGTTATCAGTTTACTTTGTCTGTTAACAAATACTGGTGTTATTACAATTTAATATAATAAAAAATATGGCTACGAAATTATTTTAGTATTTTTGTCTATTTTAATATTTAATTGCTTTGGGAAATTCTTTATTGGTGTAATATTTGGATAAATACCCGACGCTTTGAGTGATTTAATGAAGAGACATAAATATTTGATAAAAGCAACTATTCAAAATAAAATTAAAGAAGGAAAATCTTAAGAAAATAAAGATGCTTTAAAAAGATTTCCTATTTTGAAGGTTTATGGCACATTAAACTCTGCTGAATCAGGAAAATTTGAAACAATAAGTTCCGATGATGAATTACATGATCATTATGAAATCCCAGAAGTCAAAGAAAAAGTAAACCTTATTAAAGTGGAATTATATACAAAAAACTTAGATAAATAGTATTTAGGAGAATTTTAATTTACTAAAATTCTTGAGTATTTTAGTTAAAGGGAATAAAATTGGGCTTTCAGATGTGTATTTAAGGATTAAACAGAAAAATAAAAGCTAAGGTTACTATTAAAAATTTATTCATTATTATACAAAGCATAAGTCTTAACAAAATATAGATAACTTTGGACTGATGTGAGAGTATCTCAAAGATTCATTCACATGAGAAGGAAGATAATTTAATTAAGAAATTTAGATTATAGAAGATATTTGATATACTCCTCAAAACTCAATTAAATGAAAACTTATTATGATGAAAAAGCTCAGCAAAAATTTAGAAAGGATTTTCAATTAATTGGATAAGCGAAGGATGAAAATGGAGATGAAAATATAGAATATACAAATTTAGTTAAGAAATAACAGAAATATGTTGAGAAACATGCTTGGTTAAATACAAGAAAAGTGGTTATGTTTAAACTAAAAGCATTGACTTTTAAAGGATTTAGAAAGCAAGTCATCAAGAAACCATCTTTATAATTAATTTAAGAGTTTTATAAAATTACTTAAATTATCGAAGATCTTGAACCAGAAAATCCTCTGTAACCATAATTAGATTCTTAAATTGATTATTCCACGCTAGATAAAACACAATTCATCGATTTTATTGAGATTTTCAATCATATAGAATTAAAGTAATAATAAAATTTTAATTTTAAGATAAAAAGTTTAATGGTTTTTACCTCTCAGTTCTAAAAGAAATAATTCATCAAATTATTATGTTGAGGAAATGAAATCAGCTGAATATAAAAATATAGTTGATTAATGCAAGGATTCTTCTATTTTTTAGAAAACTACAATTTTTCTTGAAGACATAATACTCTAATATTTCTAAATAGAGTAATTTCCTATTCCATAAATCTAATTCATCAAGTATATGCATGACAATATCTGGATAGTCAAACTTGGTTAATCAGATGTAATTTCCTTGTTGCAGTTCTTCTAAATAAAACATGGAGAATAGATTCATCTACAAAAGTATACCGATAATCACGAAGGTATATTATATACTGAAAGCAAGACCTATTATAGAATGGTCAATCTTGTTGATCAGATAGATGACTTTTATATTAAGGGTTACTGTATTTGTATTTATAATGCTTTCGAACCTAGAAGTTTCTTGCAAGTATTAAAATATCGAAAAACTTATGGAATACCTTATTCCGAGGCAGAAATAAAATAATTTCTCCATGCTGCCTTAAATCTATTGAAAGTTGCTGATTTTAAAAGCTTGTCTAGTAGAAATATTTTCTTAATCAGAGGAGAGTATCATATTTTAAATTCAATGACGAAAAACCATTCTTTTTTTGAATTGGGGAAAATTGTTTTATCAATGATATATTTAGAGGAGATAGATGACATAAAACCATATTTTGAAAAGTTGTAACATCCTTTGAAATGGCTGATTAATGAATTATTATTTTTAGAAGATAATCTTCAAAAACTTTAAGATTTTATTCAAAAGTAATACTGCTTTACTGATATTAAATTTGAAATTGAACAACAATAGAAGCAACAGTAAACCTAAGGATTAAATTACTAAGCATTTACATGGTCAATGCTTCACAAAGTAAATTTAAATTATAGAATGAAATAATTTAATGATACTTTGCATTTAACTTAAGAATTTGAAGATTATATAAGGAAAGAGGTTTTTGAAATTCACGCTAACACATTTTCTTATTTTTGTATCCACTTAATAGAAGATTTAAATTCATATTTGTTATCATCACATTCCCTCAAAAGAAATCTTGACTTGATATTAATATATTACTATTAGATAGCAACAAAGCTTCAATTAAAATATGATGTATCTAAGTAATTGAATTATATTATCGAAAATCTAAAATAGCTATCATTTGAATTAAAAATCATTATAAAGTAACTGACTTCAAATATCAATGTTGCGAATTTAAATCAAACAGAATAATGTATAATTCTTAAAACAATATAGGGTGATACAGATCAATTTTCATAATTATTATCTAAGTCAAGATAATCGTTGCTTTAATAATTAAGAAAAAATCTAAATCTTATAGACAATATATTGGTGTTTGAATAACAAGTAAATCGATTTTTAAATTAATTCTATGCACTATTTACTTTGTAATAATATTTTTTAGAGCACTATGAATTTGCAAAATTAACAATTTCTACAGTAATTGAAACCTAACAAAAAATAATGCATAAATAAAAGTTACCTGAAATTTTAAGTGAAGCCTAAGAGTTAAGTCCAAGTCAATTTAACTTTGATTAATTAAGTCCTGGAATGGAAAGGGAAGAATAAGAAATAATTCAGGAGGATATATGGGTTTTTAGCATACATTAAGAAATAAAATAAAATCCTTTATATGCTATCTAGTATATATATTATCTCTACTTACAAGTAATTATACTACACGATTGTAAAAATGAGTTATTTATCATAAAATAATAAGAGTTTATTGATTACAACTTTAAAGATATTCCATCATACACTTATTTTCAGTAATTGATTTCATCCTTAAAAATTGATTTTGAAATTAATTCAAAAAATGAACAATTTTATTAGGAAGAATCTAAATGTGAACTTGGATAGTACAATGTTTTATGGATTAAAGCAAAAATCGAAAATAAATAATATGAATAATCATAACTTGAAGAATCTACTAATTTAGAGTTTAATTGGAGACAAATATTTTCATATAATAATTTAAAATGTAGTGCTAAAAACAAAAGAGTTCTGCTTTATATCTTGAATCAACCTTCAACTAATGAGTAAATGAAAATTCTATTGAATATCAGAGTCATTCATTTCCTTCTAAAATTGTGTGACTATTGTCCCACTAATCAGAAGTTAAGAATAAATATCTTGAACAAAGAATAATTAGGGGAACAAAATTTAGAAAACTAATCAAAAATCTTATAATTACAATCATTACACAAGCAATATGCTTAAGGAGTAAGGATAGATTATTTTTCTAACTAAAATAATGAAAGCTCATCATGGTTATTTCATTAGGGGCTTTTACCTTTAAGAATCTTTATCTATTAGTCTTATTGTTACACCTTTTCTAAAAGACACTTTGAAAATATTACTACTTATATCAATTACAAGGAGGATATATTCACTTAAATATCACAATTAATGATTTAAGGAGACTCAATCTTCTATAAAGCAAAGAATTATTAGATTCTTCAAATACCTATTGACAATATGCTAATTAATATTCAGTCTGATTATTTTAGCTATCATTAATATTTTTTGACTCAAACTAGAATAATGTTACAATAAAAAAAGAAACTAATGGATATTTATAAAAGTTTTGAGCAATACATGAACGAAATGTTTAAAAACTCCGTATTCATTTTGGGGTTAATATAGATATACTACGAATTCGAAGAAATAGATATGGCGAATTTAATGATTTCTTTTACTAAAAAATTAATAGAAAATAATGCTATTATTTTAAATGATTAACATGAAGGATTTTTAAAAGATTTACATATAGTAGAAGCTGTTATCAAATAAAAAGGCTAATAGTTGATTAAAAGTCCATATAATAGACTCTACCATAGAAATGACTTCATAGATTATTTTGATGATGAAACCTTGAATGCAAGATATTTTCTTTTTAATCTACCTTATTACTTTAATATCAAATTTTCGCAATCTATTATGGATGACTTCTTAGTTGTTAACTTTTTAAAGCTGTCTCCAACTTTGTAATAAATATTTAAAACTGCTCATTGCTCAGTCAAAGCAGAATGTGGAGATGAAGAAATCTTAACCTAATTAAAGATGTATTATTATATATTATTGTAGAGTATCAGAATATAAATTTATTGAAGGATGTTTAACATGGGCCTTTCATAATCATTTCATGTGTAGATACTATTTATACATGATAGATATGGAAAAGGCATATGATTATTCAATTTTATTGTTGTCTTATTTATTTTAACTTGATCTTCAGCAAGGTTTTTATATAAAGGAGAATAAAATTGGATATAAATATCAATATGTAATATTCATCATAATTTAAATTTAGACATGTGTTCAGTCAGAAAAGAATATTATCAAAAAAATATGCCAGCCTAAACCGATTCTAATTACAGAGTCAATTGAAGATGATCTATTTGATAATGTAATTGATGAATTCTTTATTATGGAATGCATAATAAATCATCTAGAAATTCTATCAAAAAGCAAATTTTAAATTCCATCTCTAAGTATTTTACTCTAATTTCAACTGAAATTATAAATTCAAAGACATAAAATCTAATTCTGGAATGTTCTTGCTCATTTTTTACAAAGAATAGCAAAAGAGAATTTAATTCCTGATATATTATCACAGCTTCAGGAAGTCAAAAAAGAGCGACTTCAGGAACTAAAGGAGATTAAGAAATAAATTAAAAAGAAAAGAAATGCAAAAATTTTACTAAGAGAAATTACTTAATAGGAATTTGATGAATTTGATTATCAAAATAATCTAATTACATTTTAGTTTAACATCTACAAATTAGATGAAAATTCAAACGATAAATTATTTATACTGTTCTCTTGTTAAGCTGCCGATAGAGCCTTAACAGGATATTCAAATTAATGTAGAGATAAAACAAAAACAAATAAATTTCAAATGAGTTAGTTGAAACTATTGTTAGTGTAGAACTATATATGGTTGAATCAAATTGGAAATGCTACAACAACATTAAGTGATGTTGAGGATTTAATGGTAGAATGGTTTGGTAAGATCAAGCATCCATTAAAGGGCCTCTATTTTTATAATTTTGGATTAATTAAGATTTCGTTTTATCAACAAATCCTTAAGACATTGGAAATATTTATTGAGGCAAATGCATTCAATTTAATGGAGATGAGATTAATAATTTAAGGATTGACAGTTATGAAACCTTTATTATGGAGACATATAGATATGTTCAATGCAGGCTAAATATAAAGTTTGATTCCTTTTTTTAAAAACTACATGTTGGAAGTTGGAGATGAATCCATTTTCGACTGTCCAAAAACGCATTATTCAGTGAATGATGCTGTAATAATTTTAGATGGAGTTTTGTAAAGTAATATGGCATATGATTTATCAGGAATAACAGAATTTATTGATGTAAGTTTATTAGTTCTTATATATTAGGCTGAAAACTGTTTTAAATTGTTCGAGACAGATAATTTCCTAACCAAAGAGATATCAAATTTGATCTTCAAAATTTAGAATGAGAAATTGAAAAAATAGGGAACTTGATTTGTATTGATTGCTTAAGGTTTTAATATTATTTCAAATGAGGAAATGAAACTTGTTATTTTAATATTTTATTATTAATATAATTAAAATGGCAAGGGCTCCAGAAGAAGGATTAAGTTTACCAGCTTTGAACAAAGAAATAGATCAATATTCAACAGATCCATAATTTATACAATAAATTGAAAAGCATTTTCAAGATGTTGTTAGAGATTTTAGTGGGGACCCTGATTTAGAATTATTCAAGATAAAATATGAAACTCTTTATAATTCTCTCAAAGAAAGTTATGAAAATGAAGTGAGATGGACTAAAAAGTATTTTGAGTGAAATATTTAGATGCAAAGAACATAATAGTGAGATTGTAATCTACACATCCAAAGTTCAAATGTCTTTAAAAATGATTAATGATGATAATCAATAATCAGAAAGCTTTTAAAAAGAATTGGAGGAAAAATGGAGAAAAATTGAAGATCTAAAAATTAAGGAGAAGGAACTTAAAGAAAGAATAGTGTAAGCAAAAATTGAAGTTGAAAATGTAGAATATATATATAATACCTTAGTTAAAAAAACAATGCGATAGAGTAGTTGAGGATATTGAAGAGTAAAGCTAGATATAATTAAATGATAAAAAGAGATTAATAGACGAAATTAAGAAGAGTAATAATAAATAAAATTTTAGATTTTTAGAGTGCGAAATCCAAATTTGAATATTTAGAGTAACAGAACAAAAATCTAAAACATGATCTCGACAATGAAGAAAAATAATATTAGGATTAAATTTAAAAGATCAGTGATTTAGAGGATAAAATTGCTAAAATTGATGCTGATTCCAAAGAATAAGAAAAGAGAAAGAAGAAAAAAGAAGTAAAAATGGCTGAAATTAAATAAAAAATTGATCTAGCAAAAAAGGAAATAGAAGAGAAATAGTCAAGAATTCATGATATCAAAAAATAAATAGTTTCTACAAACAATAATATATTAATTAAAATCAAAGAAAAAGAAAGTTAGCATACTAAGTAAAAGGAGGCCGAAGACAAATTTGCTGCTGCTTAAAAGGATAGAGAAAATTAAGGCGAACAATTAAGGAGTTATAAAGAATAAATTAAAATATAATAGGAACAATTAGAAAAGTTATAAATCGAAATCTAAAAAGAAAAGAAGGAAGTAAAGAAAACACATAAAGAATAAGAGATAACAGCTAAAGAAAAAAATAGAATCATAAAGGAAAAGGAAGAATAACTCATTGAAAAAAACACTAAAGAAATGTTAATTGAAACAGAAAAGATTGAATTACAATAGAAGAAGGATGTATTAGACAAAATAAATGATCAAAATAGTCAAAGAATTAAGTCAAGAACATAATAATAAAAAACTTTAAAGAAACAAGAAGATGTTTAACATTAAACTGATGAAGAGATTGTGAATAAAGTAAATAAATTGAAAAAAGTAGAAAATTAAGTGATGGGATACGAAGCTAGCAATGAAAGAATAAATAAAATGATTTTACAATTATAAAGAGAATAAGAAAAGTATGGTATAGAGGCCTCGTAAGCTCATGCTAAGTTCTATTAGACTGTAGAAGAAGTTAAGATAAAAAATAATTAGATAGCTGAATAATAGAAATAAATTGCTGAAGCTGAGGCTAGATTAAAACATTAACAATAATTATATGAAACAGTAAGAAGTGATAGAAATCTTTATTCGAAAAATTTATTAGAGAGTCATAATGAAATCTAAGAACTAACTAAGAAATATACTAGAATGAAGCATTAAGTCGATTAATTAAAAGAGGAAATTAAAACAAAGGATTAACAACTAGTAAAAGAGGACCTTGAATTTCATAAGGTGGAAGAAGAAAATGCAAAAATTGAATAAGATAAGGCTAAAGTTGAAAAAAACATCAAAGCAGATGAAGATTTAATTAAAAATTAAGAGAGTCATATTTCAAGATTAAAAAATATTATATAAGGAGCTTAAACTGAAAAATAAAGATAGTAGAAGGACTATGAAATGGTGGTTAATGAAAGAGATATCCTAGGAACTTAATTAATCAAAAGAAATCAAGAATTATAAGTTCTTTATGAGAAAATTAAGTTAAACTAATCAAGTTTGAGCAAAGGAGAAATTAATTTTAGAGAGAGAGAGATTGAATTAAAAAGTTTAAAAGATGAATTAACAAATTTAAGAAATGAATTAAAAGTAAGAATTTATATAAAAATAAGTCCACTTAAGACCAAACTGCTTGTATTGATGAACTAAGAAAAGAGATTAATAATATTGAAAAGGAATTGCTAAATGAAAAAAATAAGGTCAAAGCCTTATCAGATGAATTGGAAAATCCTATGAATGTACACAGATGGAGAAAACTTGAAGCTACAGATTAAGAGAACTTTGAGAGAATTCTAAAAATTCAGACTTTGTAAAGAAGATTGATTGCAAAAACTGAAGAAGTGAATGAAAAAGAAAATTTAATTAAAGAAAAAGAAAAATTGTTTATGGAGCTGAAAAACATATTATCTAGACAACCAGGAGTAGAAATACACTAATAGCTTGCTCAATATAAGGAATCCTTAAAAGAAAATGCAGCCAAGATGAAGACAACCTTAAGCCAATTAAAGCAAAGTCAAGATTATGTAAGATTATAAATTAAAGAAAGGTCGATATGCTAAAATTCGAAATTGATAGAATGAAGGGTGATTTGTAGGAGATGAAAAAAACATATTTTTCAATGAGAAAAGCAAAAGATAATGTATTTTGATATTTTAGTTTAGGATTTACTTTAAAATGACTAGAATGGAGAATAAGATATGCCCCAAAATAATGGAGGAGCCAATTAGAACGACTTGCAATCCTATGCATTATTTGGAGTTAATGCTAATAGAATAGGAAATTGAATTTAATTTATATAAATATATTATTAATATTATTTACATGTGCTTACCATTTGACAATAAAAAACCTAATACCTTTTAAGGAAAGAGATCAGTTTTTCAGTTGTAATTGATTGCTTTTATTTAACTGGCTTTGTTATTTGCCAGATAAGTGGCCTAATTTGAGTTAGGAGAATTGTTTGAAATATTTTTCATTATTCTATTGTGGTCAGCTTGGTCTTCTTTAGGAAGTTGCTAATGCCTTTTCTATATAGTTATAACTTTATATTATGTATTCATCATAATTACTCAAGATTTTATTAAAAGGACTATATTTTGCTACTCGTTTTTAGAATGAATTACCCTTATTAGGAGAAACTGGAAGAGAAAAGATTCTAGCCGTTTTGCATTTGGCAACACTATTTTTCTATATAATTGCTTAATATATTGTCTTTTTGGCTTATAAAGAATTCGTGGCTTTGGAAATGGAGAAAGATTACACAGTTGAAGAACCTGAAAGTATGGATTAATTTACATTAAGGGAGACCTTTGCAATAAAACGAAAGAACTTAATAGCCCATAGTTGTAAAAAACTCTGCGTTTACAGGAAAAGGAATAACTATAGGTTGATACAAATTTATTCGTTTAGATATTATATAATTGTTAAAATAAGATGCAATAATTTGTAGTTGATATTAATTATTTCACAATTATTTGAGTGAACTTATAGTCTTTGGTTCTAATAAAATATCATAGGGAATAAGAGTTAAACTCAATCTCATTAATTAAAGTCTTGCTGTTATTTATTTTATCCATTTATAAGACATCAAAATAAAAATTAGAAATACACTTAATCCAGTCAGATAGACATATATTTAAGTAAGAGTGGTTGCCTAATTTAACTTCGATTAATTCTATTCAAATAAATTATATCCAACGGTGCTTAATAATTTTCCAGTATCCAGAAAATACTCCACCTATTAGGTAGTATGTACTTTAGATTTCAGATATTGACTTATTTCATGAGCACTATCGGTGCTTAAATTTTTATTGACTAATTCGGTGTAATAGTACATCTGTAGAGTTTTGCTGAATTCTTAAACCATATTAATTATTCCTCCAGAAACATATTCATAGTTATTATCTTCTGCCACAGGTTAACCGTATTGATCTATGAAACTCTTAGGGACAGTAAAATTAACATCACTTTAAATTTGGATATTGCAAAAAGGAATTTCTGAACTCATGAAATTACATAAACTTTGTTCAAAATACATGAGTAATTCCATTTTTTATGTTTCCATCAATCCTGAATTTCCAATAAGAGAATCATATATTTATTTCATACTATCTTGAAATCCATTATATAATTAATTGAATAGATCAAGTATGACATCTACTTACATATCTAAATTTTTATATTGATTTTGCAGATATTATTCTATAATCTTTTAAGATTTAATGACTTCACTGTAAACAATTAATGAATCAAATCTAAATTTGAATCTAATCAATTATAAATTTAAATTGAGTGTTGGTTTAATATCAGAAACTTAATTTACTGTTACAAGAATGGAGCCAACAATAAAAAGACAAAATATCAACCATGCCACTATCAAGTAAAAGTAGTTCATTCTATTAACCAAACTTAAATCATATATCCTTTAAGCAAGAGAATTGCTCTAATAATTTCGTTTAGACTTTGATTTAGTTTTTGTATTTTGATAATTCGATCTCGAAGCTGAAGTTGTCTTTAAGCTCTTGGCAACAATCATTTTATTTTAATCATTATTATTTTCTTTGCCTTCATAATTAAGATCAAAGAAATTTATTTTCTTCCACACCAATTAAGTTGGTTCTGAAAGAACACTCTTTATATCTAACAATTTATCGATAGTCTCTTCTGCAGCTTTGTATGAGACCCTGGATATCAGCATTAATATTTATTTCTCATACATGGTAACGTTTTAAATCTAAAATGTAACATATAGAATTATGCCAGTTACTATGCCCAAGATTATCATGGTTATTTATAAAACATCGTTAATTATTTTATCCTAATAATATATAAGATTTTCATTTAACAAAGTGATATATTTAAAAGCGAATTGATATATATATGGCAAATTGAGTCGAAAAAATAATACATCTTTATAACTGGTAATATTGTTAAATTTGTCTATGAAATTAAATGCATGAATTTGAATTAATTAAATCAGCTATGTGAGATCTAATTATTAAGATTAAGCTTCATACTCATTGATATTTATGAGTTATAAATCATTAGTTATTATTTGATCCTCATATTAAATAATTCCTTAATAGAGCTCATTTAATTTAATATCAATTATCTCTTTCATAGATTAAAGTTCTTGTTCATATTATTTCTAAATAAATTCGCTGTATTTTACAAGTTCCAATTCCTAAGTCAATTACATCCATGAAATATAAGCAGTTTTAATAAAGTAAAAATTTAAGGTTTCTGGAAAAGTCACATAATTGATGTTAGTTTAAAGAACATTGTAATTTTCTAAATTTATATATAATCATACATTGTATTATTTACATTTTTACAAATATTAAACATAGAAATAGAATAGCCATCAAAAGCACACTAAGAACTATTAATTTAATATTCCCTTAGAAAGTGTTTATTGAATAGAGCTATCTAATTAACATAGATGGAGATTTAGATGAACTCGTACGTGACGAACTAACAGATCTTTTTTATTTATTATCTTCCTCTTCATATTCACTATAAAATAGACTACGAAAATTACTTATTCTTTTTTTTCAATTGTCTATTTATTTATAATATCTCCATCAAATCTGCCTTCACAACCTCATTATCATGATCTGAGGAATTCTTGGCTTAATTTTAATCAATTTCTATTTAAGATTCATCTTTATCTTTACTTAAGTTTCGAAGATTACTTGATTATTATAATTATTGTTATTGTAATTCTTAATCTTACTCAAATTACTAAATTAATTAATTAATTATATACCCTAAAATGACCATCTATCATTTAAAATTCAAATTCATCATCTTAATCTATTTTCTAAAGAGGTATCTACCAGAGTTATGGTCCTTTATCTCTCTAAATAGTTAGAGATAAATTATTGTATTCATCATTTATCCTATCTTCATACTCTTTTGATTTAACTTCATTGTACATACTTTATTTAGATTTCTCATTCTAAAATTAAGATTTTTATTATTTTCTTAATTCTTTGATATATTTTTAGTCATAAAGTTGTTAATTTATATTAAAGTTATTTATTGATCTATCTAAACTATCGATATGACTATCAGGATAAGTCTTATTAAATACTACAGTTTAACCTGCATTGAGTTAGAATTCTATAATTTTGTTAATACTTGGGTATTTATTAAAATGTTTATTTTCGGAATTTATTTCTGTTATGTGATCTAATTCTAAGACAAAAAAGTTATATTAAAATGACTTTACTTTTAGTTGTTGTTATAGTAGCCTAACTTTTGTTTTTAGAATTGTAAATTGCTGGAACAATTCTTTATGAATTTACATAAATTAAAGAGAAAAATCAATATTCTCTAAATCAGTAATTTTATATAGATGGTTCTTGTCCTGATTATTATCCTAAGAATATAGACTCTTTGTCAAGCTTTTCCAAGATCTCCATGAACTCAAATTCTCACTTTCCAATCCAAAATCAACTTTTTATCCAAACTTATCATATTATTCCTTGATAAACAGGGAATTAAGTTCAATCAAATTAAAAGGAATGTATAATAAAGTATCCTCATTGTCCAATATGAATTCATCTAATTTTTCTTTATTCGATTATTCCAACTACTTTAAAGATGATAATATTGATGGAAAAATTAAAAATACCCTGCAAAACTCTTTAAAAAAATCTATTTAGATTTGAGGATTGATTTTTTTAATAAGATCATACAATTTTTCACTTATTCCTATAATTTTCCCCTCAATGTCAAATAAAATGGTTTAATTTGATAAGTTACATTTCAACATTGATGCAGTTATGACATAATCATCCAACTCTTCAAATAAATTCCCTAATTTAATATAAGACTTTTGAATGAATCCTTTAGCATTCTCATAATATCCGCTAATCTTTTTAACAAAAAACTAACTATATCCTCTTTGCATATATTGATCAATCAATAATTCATGTGCTGGCATAATAGACTTAGGTAATAACTTATGAATATTAGAAACGTTATCTTTAAAATTATTACTATCTGCATATTAAAAGAAATTAGCTAATGCTAACTGGTTCTTATTAACTATCTTTCCCTTATTTTTAACTAGACTGACTAATATGATGGTAGTTCTATCATTTAACAATTAAAAATTATCAATAATATCTATTTCTTTTTATCTATCATTTGAAGTAAGATCTTTAACGTACTATTCGATGTAGAAAGACTAAGATATTTATTATTAGATTTACTCTATCATAATCGTTCATCATTATAGAATAGAATAAGGAATATAGTTTGAGTGTGATACAGTTTATATTTAATTGAGCATTACTTAATTTTTTAACTTAATGACCCTTGCTAGTAGTGACTTTTAAATCAAACCATTCTTCAGGCACTCCAATATATTTTTCCAATTGCATTTTCAACTAAAATAGTAATTCTTTATAAAGTACCTATTATATTTTAGCACATAGTTATTGAGTATTCTATTAGAAAGGATTCAGACTTTGATATCCAATCATTAGATTACTCCAATGTTCAACCTTTAAATTAAGTAAGTAAATATAATCTTTCAATAAGCTTTCATACAAATTTTGGGTCCACCATTGTTACTATAATGAAATCTCTATCAATTAACTTTTTTATTCTTAGATGAGTACATCTTTGGATGTTTGTCTTTGTTGATTATCCAAAATTTAGACTTGAAGTTGATCCGCTAATTTGTTTGTTATTTCAATAAAATAAATAGAATTGTTATTGTTTTTACTATTTTGGTATTTTCTTAATTCTAAGTATCCAAGCAAGGGTTTTGAGACTATATCAGAGACAAAACTGATATATTGTAGTTGTAGTTATTCAAACTATAAATCTTGATTTTAATTAGCTCTAATTCAATTAATCAAAATAAATTACAACGAAAATAACCATTATTGAGCAGTTTTAAATATGCATTTAATGATACTTAAAGATAATTAATGAAGGTCTTTCTTTTAATCAAGGTCTACCTATCTAAATTTAAAATCCTAAGAATAGCACTTTTTATTTTTGCAAAAATATTTATGGGTCCTTATGTATTATTGAAACTTAATCTAACATTCTTAACTCTAATTTAATTTGTCATACACATACTTTATTGTAATCGAGATATAGCTTATAGAAATAATCAGCAGTGATGATTAAATGTTTCTCTTTGATCTATGTGTTGGTATTAGAATTTATGATTGCGTAGTAATGAAATTGCAATGCCAATCCTTGTCCAATCACATATATCAATGGTAATGGGATGGCCATAAGAAAGAACAATTAATTTTCATCTATTTTATCTGAAAATCTATAAATAGTTAGAACCACGACTATCCAAAATTATATAAAAGTCATCGTTATTGCAGGTAGTCGAATTGGATCTCTGTAAGGATAATTGTTTAATTAGTCAATTATTTAATTTATAGTAAATAAATTTGCTAGTGCATATTTAATAGCATCAGAAAGAGTAAACTATTATTGAATAATGTATTACAAATTCGTAATTATAATGAAAAAATATAATAGCCAGTACTATTGTATTATTGAATAATAATAAACTAGAGTATCTTCTTTTTAGAGAGTTGATTTCGTTGAATCTGTGATTTCTCATTGTGTATATTAATATTTGACCATTAAAAAAAGAAATTAAAAGTTAAATAATGGAGAGCACTTGTAGTAAAGGTATAATTTCGCATTGCTTAAAAGGAATCAAACTTAATGAGTTACATGATAATGTACTAAATGACAGTACTGCAATTTATAAGTAGATAACTGGATAAGTTACGAATATCCAATGCAATAGTTCATTAAATTATATCACCCAGTTTTAGATATTGCTATTTAAAGTGCCTTTATCACTATTCTTTATCAAATTAGCAGTGTATAATCGAATTAGAGTTGAAAAGCATAAAAATAAAAATAGAATCAGTTGAGATAAAAATGAAATTGTAATTATTATGATTGCTAAAGAGGAGGACAAGCTCTATTTTAAAAGGCTATTAACTAGAAAAAATTCTAAGAAACTTTGAATAAAGTCTAATTTAAAATCTGAATATCTTTTGTCATAACTTGTTTGAAATATGATTGCCAGCAACTAAAATTAATTTATTGTATGCAAAATTATATAGAATGAATAATCCATCTAATCTAATATCATAATTTATACTTTATATTTTGGTCTAATTTCGATTCCGTACAACATTGTTTGCATATATCCTCTAAAGAACTTTTTTAATTTTTCCATAGAATAATTAAATTATTTTTTATAATATTGCTTAAAAGACAAATATTTTTAAAATAAGAAGTGTTCAAAAGCCAAATCAATAAAATTGTTCATAATCTGATAAAAACTACAAGATTATTGAATCAATTAATGAAGCCGTATTATACAATGATATTTCTATTAATATTTTAATAATAAACTCAAAGAAGCTCAAATATATACTTTGATGTCCTTTATCCTAAGTTCAGCTGAGATTCTAAATAAAGAATAAACTTGAGGCATCTTTTTTATAAAATAATTTTAATTAATTGTATTAGTGAAATACATAGCTCCTTGTGCTTTACACTTTTTAAGAGGAAACAACGACCCAGTAATATTTACCTATGATTTAAGGCTGAGGATGATGTTAAAAAATTGCTTAAACAAGCTGAAATTGAACTAATTGCTGCACACGTTAAGAATATCGTTAACTCATTGAAATAAAAAAAATTGAATCGTATTATAAAAGAAAGGTACAAGTTATTGATAAATTTATCAGTTGAAGGAGGATCATGTAATTTCGAATTCGTAACTATTAAGTATAAAGCACTCCAGAAGCAAAATCAGCTGCCTAAACAGCTCCAATATCAATGGCTGAAGAACCAGAAGAAGATGTTGATATAGGAGGATTCTTTGATGAGTATTTATTATATTTCATGTAATCCAAAAATGATTAATAGTCTTTGATATTTTATTGATTTCTCTAAGCCTTTAATCAACGATTTAGACTACTTTTCAAGCGTTGCCTGTTGGCTAGCTGTCCTGTTTATTTCAAAGTAAAAAAAAAAAATCCATTATATCATCGGCGCCAATCTCTCTATTACTCTATTTTTTATGGGTTTTTTAATAATAATTATCATATAACAAAATATTTAAACAACAGGATAATTTCTACAAATTTCAATTTTAAATTAAAAGTCAGTGATTTTTTGAGAATATAATTAAAGGATAGAATTAATTACATTCCATTTCCATTTTGATAAAATAAATAACGGTTTAAAAATCTTAGTTTACTAAAGCCAAACGTTTTAAATAAGTTGTGGAATAAAATATTAATTAATTATAAAAAATAAATACCTTAAATAATATTTTAATATATTATCGTTTTTTATTTTTTAATAAATCTAATATCTTAGAGTCTTGTTGAGTTTTGGTTACTAAATTCGTAATTCCAATAGAAAGACTAAATTTGTCAAAAAACCTTAACATTCGAATATATAGTATTTCTAATTATTGATAAATAATATGATTCAAACCTTCCCCAATGTCTATGTGGATTCTCAGAAAATTAAGTTAAAATAATTCTGTAGGTTCACAAAAGTTTGTTAATTAATATCTATTATTACCAATGTATACTATTTATATAACAAAAGTTGTTTTCAATTTCAATTTCAAACTACAATATTCTTTAATTAATTATTATTGAATTGATGTCAACAAGAAAGATAGATTTTTCAATTACTTTCAAAGGGTTATTAATACAAGAAAGTTCAAGAAAATATTAAAAATAATAGAAAAATCTTAGAATTTTTCAAATCCTAAGATTTTTTAAATCTTATCTACAAATATTTTAAACTCAATAAATTCATACTAATATTAAGTGATAGAGAAGAATTTAGATAATTTATAGACTGCTTTTCTTATATTAAAAATACGTGAAAATTAAAAACAAATAAGATTTATTACAATTTAAGTGTGAGATGTTTGAGATTAATAATCAAATTTATTAATATCCTAATAACTCAGATGAATATGACAGTTAAGCTAATCAGAAAATCAAAGAAATAGTATATACACTCTCTTAAACATGGTAATGAAAGTAATAAGGAATAAAGTGGACTTTAATAGTTACCCAATGAATCATTTTAATCTAAATAAAATGTTGAAAACTTAGTATATGATAACGACTCATCCCTATAGAGTAGTTCATACAATAATTGTACCATTTTAAGCTATATTTAGCAGTTGGTGATATAACTGAAAATTTTGAAAGCGTTTATTCGCATAAATTGATGAATAAAAATCATTAACAGATAACCAAAGCCTCCAATGACTCAAAAAACAAATAAATACGCTATACTGTTAAAAGGGAGAAGGATATGAAACGAAAAAAATAAAAGAATAGAGGAAAATAATTTTCTTAAGAAGAAGATTAAAGATTATTGAACTACATATTGAAGAAGGGACCTAAGTTCCACAAGTTTGCTAGATACTTTCCAGGAAAATCAACAAATATGTTAAAAAATAGATATTATAAATCACTAAGATTTGAATGGGATCAAGTACTTGGAAGGTATGTAGATTCTTTATCATTCTTTAGTTAATATTCATACATGAATGCCCCATCTGAAGAAATCACACCAATCATATAATAAGAATCCCCCGTATTCATGTTTGATGAATTAATTTAACTGAGATTATTTCCAGAAGCTGAAGACTTAATGTCCAATTTTATTGGTAACCTATCCTAAACATTTAATGATCTTCACAGCAGTTTTCCATCAGAGGATTATTGATCATTATTTATATATATAATACATCGAGTAATAAATTATCATCGTATAATTTTTAAATTTAGTTGCATCAATGGTCAATGAACATTACCTTCCTTGTCGAAGAGATAGAAATGCTTAGAATAGACATCTTTTATGCAGATTCCTTTTGAGATTGCTTTTGGTGTCTAAAATTCATTTATATTGATTTTCGCTATATGTTGAACTAACTTAATATATCTTTTCTTCAGGAGACCTGCTTTAAATAAAATATATATTAAATTATCATCACTGTTATAACTTACTATAAACACAACGAATGTGGAGCTAATTCCTTTTCAATGAATATTTGCTTTCGGTTAGTTGAGGAATTAAATTATAATTTATTTTTTCTACTTTTTTTATTTTTAGAATATGTATATTAAAAGAGAATTAATAAAATTTAAATCAAGAATTATCATTTGTAAAAATCCCAAACCATTTATGTTTGAATTTTTAGAGAAATAACAGAATGTTATATCTATTATTAAATTTGATTATTTATTCACTCTAACTTTATACCAATGAAGATTTACTGTTTATAAGTTCTTAAGATACCTCCACAAATAATTATCTATTCGAAAGAAATATAAATATTATTTTTTACTTATTAAATAATTAATATTAAATAAGTATTCGATTAATACTTACACTTTAATTTTATATTAATAAGGCAGTATTTTCACATCTACACTCTAAAAATATTTTAGTCGAATTTACCTTGTTTCTCTACAAAATTGCTATTATCTAGTAATTCTAAAGAATTTAGCTTAGGAAGAGGAAAAATTTATTCGTTTTAGAGTCATTATTTAATTTAATAATAAATAATAATTTAAATTGTAGTTTTTCATACTTTAAACCTTTGCTTCTGTATTGGTTACACTAATGAAAATAGAGAATATATATTAATAATTATTTATAAATATTCATTAAGTTGGTATTTCGAAGTATTCATTAATTTTGCTCCTATTTTTATGGACTCTCACTACCTTCAATTATTATTTGTTATTAATATTAAGTTCTATTTTAAGACGAAGTTTTTTTGTATTCTCTTGAGGTTATCCCTTCTTCTTTACACATGTTTCTTCCTTATTGAATAGGAACATTCAAAAGACAAAGGTCTCGTTTATACTTAAGTTTTGTTGAAGTACAACCCATTTTTATTTAATTAATTAATGACTTTGTGGTTTTCAAAGATTTTAAATAGCTTTACCACAATAGTGGATATTATTTTTAAAATATTAAAGAAATAAAAGGGGCTCTATCAATTAATTGAATACTGTAATTAAAATCGATAGTTAAGTTATTTGTTTTCAAATTGCTGTTTAATATAAATTCAAGAACTTTAATATGAATATAGAAGTGCCGAACAATTAAATAAGTAACTTAGAATAAAATAATTATAAATATTTATTTATTAATTATAATAAATATATAAACAGACTTAAGAGAAACAAAATATATGAGTTTTCAAAAGCAATTTTTGCTTTTTTGGGAGATTTATGAAACTACAATTATTTTGTTTCCATTAGGGTAGTTAAAGACTTCTGTCTAAGTTTATGATTCAGTCTTTATTTTTTTTCTGCTTGCCTAAATTTTATTAAGGCATCTGAGTAATAAGGATAAGATAACAAATAATACCTTTCTATATTCATTCCATGAAAATAAGGATGCAAAAGAGCCTGTTACGCAGTTATTCTCTAAGAAGGATCAAGAATAAGCATTGAATCAATTAGGTTTACTAATAATGGAGGCATTTTTTTCTCAAGCAAGGTATGAAGGGTTCTTTCTTTTGGATCTTCAGTAATAAGAGTAGAGTAGTTTTTGAGTGAAGTCACTCCCAACCAGTTTTCTATTGATTATTATCGAGAAGTATACCTTCAACTGGAGTTCCACAGAATTTCAGAATCTGATTGAAACTAGCGACTTCAGATGGTCCTTTAAAAGGATTGCTTTTAAAGAGCAATTAAATAAATAGCACTCCTGCAGACCAAACATCAACCTTAGAGCAATATTTTTAACCTAATATTAGTCATTTAATAAACCAAGGAACACTTCCGGAGCCCTGTATGAATGATTTTGAATTCGTGTTGTTTGTGGCTTTTATTTATTTAAATTTTGAGCCATTCCCAAATCACAAATTTTAATTTCTAAATTTCTATATAAAATGTTGTTAGCTAAAATAGTAATATATGATCTTACGTTTTATATCTCTATGGACGATTCCTTATTTGTGTAAGTAAGCCAAGCCTTAAAGCACTTGAAACATGATCAGTTTGACTTATTGTTCTGAGAAGGTGTCTCTTCTTAAGGCAGTTAGTAAGTCTTCTTCCATATATTCCATAATTAAGTAGGTTTTATTCTATCCACAAGCTAAATCCTTTAAAGCGACAATTTGTTCACATTTTACGGATTTAAGTATTTCAATTTCCCTTAAGGCTTATACATTAATCTTGAATTAAATAAAATAGCAAACCCCTTAATCAGCATTGCTATGACGCAATTCTTTGATAGCAACTGTTTCTTTGGTGCGCAAATTTACACCTCGATATACAGTTCTAGGAATAAGAATAAAATATACCCGTATTGACCATAGCCTAGAATCTTTTAGAGAATGTACTTTTTTTTTAATTCATCTGTTTACATTGAAGAAGAAGATATTCGTTAGAAAGTAAATTCCTGATTCATAGAAATAGGAAATTTATTAATTGTATAAATTAATGCAAATTTTCGGCAAAGAATTATGATTAGGCACAATATTTTATTATCAAAAATAGAAAAAAAATTTAAATTAATCAAATGACATAATTATCACCCTAATAAAATAAACTTGTCATAATCAGCCGATATCATGTCTTCTTATCAATAAATCTATACCAAAAATATAAATGATTTAATTATTTATTGACTAACTACCATTCTATTTCAAAGCCTAAAAGCAATAATTAGCCATCCTTAAATTTACGCTAACTAAATAACAATAAATTATTTTTGAAATTATGTATTAATTGCGAATTATCTGAAATAAAAATACTGGTATATTATTGAATCAATAATGTAAATACAATTTCTGAACATTAATTCACTCATAGTACTAAAATTATTCTATGCTCTTATAATAATCTTCAATAATCAACAAATTTCATTAAATAATCCAGAAATTAATATTATTGGCTCCTTATTCTAAAGAATTTATCATTATCTTGGATATTATGAATTCGCAATTTTATTATCATAATTTATTACAACAGCAAAATAACTTAAAATCAACATAATATATAATTAATTCATTTAAAACATATGCTAAAAGATAAATAGAAAAGCAATAGCATAATTTGTACCGATAAAATGAATATACATCGATTTATTAAGGATTATAACATATTATCAATATACAAATGGGGTATTGAAAATTTGTATATTAAAGAGGGACTACTTTATGATCATAAATAAATTTGAATTGTAATTATATAAGAGCTATTTAAATTCAAGTATCTACTATCAAAATTTAAGTGGAGGAAAATAAAAGAATTGCAATAAAAAATTCACAATTTTAAATGATTCCCCTTATAATACAATTATTGATATTAATGGGCATGTTAGGATATTAATGATAATTTTAGATTTTTTTATATTTTTTCTTCAAAAATCTGCTCTCATCTATTAAATAAGACTTTTTTATTTATTTACTCTTGAATAATATAAAGAAAAAATAAACTTAAAAACAATGACTAGCATTATGACTTAAATCGATTTTTAAAATAAATAATTATTTCTAATTTTTACTTTTTTAGAATGGAAATAATTATTTATAGAGAAAAAAATGATATAATTTTGATAAGAGATTGTTAATTGCTAAACTCAAATGTTTCTTAACTACTTGATAATAGAACTATTGTATAACATAATTAATAGTAGAAACACTTCTTCATAAATTATTTATATTATTTATCTATATTTCATATCATAATCATAATAATAGCCATGATTAAAACATAGATTATTTTTCCTGCACAAACATCGCATTTGTTTGAACTACTTGACCATCTATAGGTGTACTTTGTTTAGTTGTAACAAGTATTTATGTTAAGTGCAGATGTATCGGTAGCAGAAATACAACTACTATTGGCAGCATTCCATTAGCACAACTAAAATATCAATTTATTAAGTTAAGTTTAATAGTAGGTGCAAGTATTATTATTTCCATACTAAGCACAGCTTGCTTATGTACAATTATTGAGTGTAGCATTCCATAGACATGCGTTTCCAACCTTTGAGCAAGAATTTGAATTCAATTGAGCACAACTTGAAACTTCTGAACATCCACTATTACTCCAATAGCAAACTCCATTAGATGAGATAGTTAAATCACAGATTGTTTAATTTGAATATGATGAACAAGACTTTAAGGCTTCTTCGCTGGCGCAGTTCTTACCATCAGATTATGGGCAGTTTTTTGATTTTGCTAAGCAATCTGCTTGATTGGCTCCAGTTAATTAATTGCAAAGTGTAAAATCAACACATCCTTTGCCATTCCACATACACTTCAAATTGTTGGCACAATTTGTTTGATCACTTATGGATGAACAAGATACGGTTGAACATGAGCTAGCTTTTGAATCCCAAGAACATATAGGTTAAGATTGAGCACAATCCTATTATGTTGTCAAATCACCACATGTGCATTTATTAAGAGCATTAAAAGTCAATTAAGCATAGGTGATGGAGATCAATAAAATTGCCAAACTCAATTTTTTCATTTTTTAATAAATATTAATATTCCATATTTTAATAATTGGGACCTTATAATCACTGCTTTTAGCGCATACTATATTAATTATTATCGTATTTTGTTAGAATATGAATTTTGAACTCTTTTTGCAATTGCTCTCCTTAAAAAAGGAAAATAAGATTCTATTTTTCTGAAATATTTATAATTAGAATTTAGGATTAAAAATATACTAATACTAAAAGTATTACTAATAAGGAAACAAACATATGTATAAATTTGTATTAAATTGAGAAAAACATAAAGAAATAATCATATTTATCTCTATCCTTTGTGAATTTCCAATTTCATTTATAAAATCTCATTTTTCCAAAATCCTTTATTTATATTTTAATCTGTGAAAAATACTTCCTCTACATTGAAGATGAATTTACAACTAAAACCTATATTTTCTATACCTAACATTCATACTTAAGTAGATAGAGGCTCAACGGGCACAGAATTGACTGTTATTCTTAACCAAAATAGATTGCACAATCTCTTTATATTTTAAAATTTTTTTTTTGATAATATAAATATTTGTTTTTTGCTCTATTTAACACATTAAATTATGACACTTAGTTATGACAATTCACTTTTAATTTTATCAAAATCTAATTATTCATTGATGTTGAGAACTTTATGGACTCGATTTTAAATTTACTGACCAATCTGGTACCTCAGAAATATAGAACTGAAAACTTAATCGAGATAATATATAATGTCATTATATTTGTCAAAATTTACAAAGGCTAATATTTAGTTTTTAACTATTCATTGTATTACATGAAATTCGGAAATATGTAATACATTTTATTGTCCTAATGATTAATAAGTATACTACAGAAAGTATTTTTGGGACAAATGTTGAATAGTAGCATATAATTTCATAGTCTTTATGCCTATATGTGATAGATAGATATATATATATATAAATGAATTTTTCAAATAAAATTTAATAATAATTATACTGATATTGGTATATTTTACTCAAGAATACTAATTAATCAATTTTATGTAATATTCTGTTTATAATTGTTATCTGATCTTTTTTCGATCTATTGAACTATTCATCTTCATTATTTATTAATCATAAGGTTATTATAATAGTATTTCAATCGCTTGCTTATTGAAGTTCAGTTATGTATTTCTAGTAAATTCTTAAGACAACCTTTAAAATTCAAGGACTGATATATTGTAAGCATTGGATTATCGAACCTTTGCTAAGATTTCTCCTTTCTATTCGAAAGGATATACTAAATCTTTAGATGATCTAAACCGTCTGAGATTGAGGATATGTTCTTTTTCAACTTTGATTAAATTATGAATAAATCCTAATCATAATTATAATAAGACATTACGTCTTGTTAGTTCCATGATTCCCACAATCATAATAAATAGTTACTAGTTTGGAATCTTTAAATATAAATACATTTAAGGACTGATTGTAAATGTCCAAGCTGAAATAACAAACATATTTAATATAATGAGAAAATAATAGAAATGTGGATTAATGAAAGCTAAATCACTTCTTAAGAACTTAAATTTAGAATCTGGTTATAAGAATAACCAATCATTTTTAATTTCCCAATATTATTATAGGATTGTGAATGTACCAGCCAATATTATCCATAAAATGGCATCAGTTTTATCAAATTTATTCAAACATCCAACAATACCAACAGATACAGCAAGTAAATTCTTTAAAAAATTCCACATTTCTAAAGTGTTGTAAAATTTACCATTTTTTTTAGCCAAAGTTAAACAATGTAAACATTTTAGAGAAAATACAACTACTAAACATATGTCTCCTACTATTCGCTGTCCTGATTCACACTCCTTATAATGTATTATCTCCTCATTATCATTGAATAACTTAATTATATAATCACGCTTACATCGTTCGAATAATAACATATTGTGTATTCTAGGTCTCTTATTGGAGAAAAAAGAGATACAAATTAATCCAGAACAAAAGTGTATCTAGCATCATAGGATAGAAAATGGGTGAACAAAGCCCCTTTTAGCATTCTATACATCCATCGTCTACCTTGCCCATTGAATTTCTTAATTGTTGGAATCAATAAATAGCCAAAAAATATTACCCAATATAGAAGTGGAAGTATTTTTACAATTTGTTTATAGTCTTTAAATGCTATTTCTTCGACTTAGATGCAAGTAATTAAGAATAACAGCAAATATATAGTGCTTAAGAAACTTACTCTTTTAATAACTTCAGTTAATGTAGAGAAGTGATGGTTAAATCCTAAATAAAGTTTGTAATTAATTTAATATTTAATCCATATATATTAATCCAGAGTCAATAACCAATAATATATTAGTAATAGCCCACCTCCTCTAATTGAAGGAAATATCGGAGAAAATAATTCTTCATTTTCAGGATCCAACATACCCTCCAATCTCATCAATAATAAAATTGTTATAACCACCACACTAACGCCAAAAAATAGCCCAAATAAATAAATGTTTGTGGATCCAGCCTTTTTCTTTGCTGAATACTTTTCCAAATTTTTTCTGCATGTATCTGGATCATAAGGATAAAAATTGAAGCTTAACAATTAATGGGTTTTAGATTTGTCATCATCCAATTTGAGATTTAATTAATCGAGTATTGCTCTGTCTTTTACTAAAATGTCAATCTTAAAACAGTATTGCACTTCATACTAGAGTTACTGCATAATTCTTGTGTGCAATTAAATAAATGATTGAAATTATAACTATTACATATAAAGTTCATAGAACTATTGCTTTAAACACTCTTTCTTTCTTTTATGATATTAGTCCTATATTTGCATTAACTTTATTTACTCTTGTAATTATTGTGATTTGCATAATAAATCTTAATACTTATAAAGAATAAATGATTCTATTTTTTATAATTCCTAATCCAAAACTAATAATAATGAAGATTTGTCTTTATCTATTTTATCTTTTATTTCTAAATTTTAAACCAATTCATAATATTTCATAGGTTTGACAATCTTAAGACTATTTTTTTGATGACGAAATTCTCCTGCCACGATCATCAAATGTTCAAGGGTTTCATAATCCAAATATAATCTCAGCCATTCAGGTACCATTTCTTATCTGTATTATTCCTAATCAATCTTCTCCAAATAAGAAGGCAAGGCATCAAAGAAATTCATTATTTTTGTTTTATTAAGTAAATTTTCATATAGAATTTTTATATTCTCTAATAGTTATCAAACTAATTTCAAAATTACTCATCAATAAAATACTTCTTAAATATATATAGACGTACCAAACAATTATTTATAATACTCAATATTCTTAACACAAAGCAAATTTTCAATAATTCTCTTGAAATAAATAATTATTAATAATTTGTATTATCAAATAAATTTCAACTGAACCCCTGTCGATATTGGATTTCAAATTATGATTCTAGCTATAAATCTAATCAATTAATCAAATACATCTTACTAAAGAAGTCTTGATATATCTGAAAAGAAAGCGAACTTTAAAAATAAAATTAACACTATAAATATCCTTATTATAATTACTATGATATATTAAATTTTTGAATTGTGATTTTCCTCTCTAGACCCTCATCTCTTGTAAATGCAGCATGATTTTCAATTTTAGGAAGCAATATAGTTTTTGTATAAATATGATGCTTTATCTATTTGTTAATCAGTAATGAGTGGCTAAAAATGACTCTTTAATTCTGTTTAAGACTCAAACTTAAATTTAGCAGTGGAAAAATAATTTATTTTAATTTAATATATGTCAGAATTTAATAGAAAAAAATTCTAATCACTATTTTTAGCAATAACTAATATTAGTGACAATCTTATTATATTTCCAAAAAGCACCAGGAGTATTTGGATACGATTCCATTCTTCCTTGGACGCTTTAAGATCTAGATTAATGAATAGGATTTTAGTTAAGCATCATAATAGAAACATAATCGTTAACAATAGTATGTATTTCTTAAGTTCTTATATCAAAACTCTCTCTATACCCAAACAAATTTAAAAACTAACATTAACAGGTCTAAATATCAAGACAACCATATCGATTTCTTCAAATTTTATACATATATTTCAATTACAGGACAATAGGAGAATTTCTATTTCAAGAAAAGTTGAAGAAAGAGAAGCAATTGATAGTCAAATATAAAGGAATCTAGTTGTTAGATGGATTCTATTGGAGATAGTAAGGGAATTGGCTATTATAACCTCCTTCCCAATAAGGAGATGAAAAAAAGTTAGACTATTTTTTTGTTACCAATCTGTTTGTGAGAGACTAAGACTTGAAAGCCCAATAACGCACTTGATTCTACTTAGTAAATTAGGTTTATGAATGAAAATTTCTCCATTTTGATCATGTTTGTAAGAAAATTTATTTTGAAAAAAAAAAATCTAAATTGAAGTTTAATTTTCAACATTAATACAAAAAATAAGAATTTTTGAATTTTTTAAAAATTATTTAAATTCGATGTCACTTTGATTTACCTGTCACGATTCAAATCCGAAATTGAATTTCAATTAGAACATTAATTAAAAATAAAAATGAACTACTCAACTATTTTATTGATTGGATTGGTTGTCTCTATCAATGGAGCCATTACCTATAAGATTGGCTCTGAAGTATGTTCTTGTGATACATTTTCGACAAGTGCTGATTGTGGTTAGCTTGCATCGAGTTGTGAATGGGTATCAAACGAATGCCAAGATATTAATTGTACAACTAAAACTACCATTGGAGATTGTAATAAAAATGGATGTGCATTCACAACAGCAAGCAAATGCGAAAAGAAAACATCTTGTGCTAATTACAAATACGATTCAACAACTGGTTGTAATAACATTGGATGTGATGCAGGCACTAAAGGAACTGATAATTTGTACCCTTGCAAAGATTTTGCAGCTACTACATCTTACATCAAAGATTGTGGAACCTACACAGCTGAAACAGATTGTGCAGCAGCCTCATGCAAATGGTCCACAAAATGTGTCCCTAAAACTTGTGCTGATTTAACTTAATAGACATGCACAAATATAAGAGGTGAAGTTTACACTAATAGAACACTATGCACTTGGGATGCTACTAAGTCAGTATGTGCAGATGCTACAACTGGATTGACAAAGTCCTAATGTTTATCATACACTTTTGGAACTTATTCTTGGAATGAGGACAGTTCCGTTTGCGAAGAATGTTCATCAAGCTATGGAGAATTAATCATTACATCAGTGGTTCTGATTAACCTATTCTTATGAAATTTCGATTTATATATGCACAATCAAATATTATTAATTTAAATTTTAATATTATATATCTTATTTATAATTACTCATTCTATTTGTAATATTTGTTGATTGCCTAATGTGTTTGCAAATGATATGACTTCTTGCACTTAATCTAAGTATTGGTTAGTAATATACTCTAAGATTCGTTCACTTGCACCTGATAAGAAATGGCAATTTTATTTAGCTCCTATTGATATCCCAGACCCATTTATATCCATAAAGAAAATCTTTACTTTTGGATTTACTTCTGTTATATATGAATTCAAAAGATACTCAAAGCTAACGTTGTCCTTTCTAAAACATTTCTAAACAGCCATATCTGAAATTATAACAATGTTATCACAGAAGATTTTTGGCTAATACAACAAATCCTCAATTGTTTGACCGATCATGGCATAATAATTCCCAATTTGTTTTCTTACCATGTCGCATTTTTTAACAGATTCATATAGGTCCTCATCCGTGAAATTAACCCTTAAATAAGGTTCATTATTTTTTTATCCTCCAAAAATATAGAATTCCATATATTCGCATTTAATTCTTAAGACCTATGATATTACAAAGGCAACTGTTTATAAGCTCTTATTTCCTAATTCATAACTCATTGATCCAGTTACATCAACAAAGATATGGGTTTTTCCAGGAATTGTGGGTATAGCATTAACAGCCATGTTAATAGCGTTTGAAATTAATTTATAAATTAAATTTGCTCTATCATTTTTCATTTAAATGAGTACTTCCAAGGTCTTATAATATTGCAACATTGTGACCTTGTTTTATTAAATTATTTAAGGATTGCTTAGGTATTATTGCAACAATGAGAATGCTTTTGGTGATAGATAACCAGAAAGGATATTTCTAAGATTTCTAATAGTAGCTAAAAATGTAATTCTATTCTCTTTGATTAATTTATCCCACACTTTATCATTATTTTATTAACTCAACTCCCTTTCCCAAGTGACAATCTTGGGTAGTTTCATTCTTTTCCCACATTTCTGTTATTCAAATACTCTGTCATCTTGTGGGAATAACTGTTTGAATTCATCTTGGTTTAGAGGGTATCGACATCTCAATATACACATAACATTATATTTTGGTTGGCTTATGTGAAACATTTAAATAAGATCCTTCATGGAAATGAATTTTCTTTCTAATGATTTAACTACTCTTTACTTTTTTGAGTATTTCAACTTTTTTTGAATTTGCTTTTATATTTACCTAGCCTTTTTCCTATCTTATTTGATGATGACCTTCTTCTTTAACTTCTTCTCTGCTAATTACTAAAATTTTAGTTTTAAACCTCTTTTATGATACCTCTTCATAAACAAGGTTGGATCAACTAATTCTGAAAATCTATAGATGATCCTTTTTCTCCTTCTATCTGAGCAGTATTTGGCCAATTAATGAATAGTAAATTATGGAAATTTGTTGGCTCCACACTTTTAAAGCATTTTTGAGAAATTTAATTCTTTTCTACAATTTATACTGTAAGGGATGCATCTTTGATATCCATTTTAATATCCTTACCATTCAAGTTTCAAATAATACCGCATCAAATGTGAATATTCTGCAACTTCAATCAAATCAGTTGGTAATTTCACAATATAATTAAAATATTTCCTACAGTAAGGTTTGCAAGCATCATAACTTGTAGCAAAAGCTAGTATAAAATTTGATGTAGCTCTAACCAATAATCTATTTCTTGTGTAATAGGCTACTTGTAAGATAAATTCAGGATCTTTATCTGCAATCTAAAGAAGTGATTAAAACAATTCATCTCTTGTTCTATCTTGATCGGCATAATATTTTTTATCCTTCAAGATTTAGGAAGAAGCTATGTTGATTAATAGTTATCTTGGATCCTAAATTTGTTAACAAATTTGAGGATCATAGAATTTTTCTATAAGTTCATAAAATGACATGACAATTATTTCAATTTTTAATAATAATTAAATTTAAATCAATCTGCTCCTTGATATAAGTCTCTACCCTCTGTAATAAATATAACATAGTCACTTCCAAAGGCAGAAAGTCAATTAAGTTATTTAATAAGGCGAGTTATTGATCCTATGAATCCTTATTACCTTATTATTTAAGTCCAAGCTACTTAAATGTTATAGACTAAATTCAGTAATCTAAAATCAGCAGCTTCATTTATAATATCTGATGAATTCATGGATTAAAATAAAGATTTTTCCAGAATTTTATTTTAAATGCATTTCTAGAGTTTAGATTTTAATAGATTTTTCAATGTATTTTTAACTTCCTAATCTGATACCTAATTATCAAGTCACCTTAACAGAATTAATTTTCTTTAAATTTAAATAATAATATGGTGTCATTAATTGGTCATTAATTTGATTAATTGATTTCATTATTATTTTTTATAAATATATGATAAAGAAATAAATAAGCTCGATCTAATAGGTTGTTAAGACAGGAACTTAGATTGTGGAATATTCCTGGTTTTAGCATCATCAAGTTTTCAGTGAGCCTCCTATAAGCAACTGGAAATAGACAATAATGGATAATTTTGAATGGTTCCTCATTCTTATGGTTCTGGTCTATTGTGTGACATTCATCTTCATGTACAAGAATTTTAGTTAAAAATCTCATAAAATAATTGTGAACGTCAGAAAAGAGAGTGCAACAAGTGATGAATTGCAAAAGTAATACGTGTATACTAAAGATGTAGTTCGGTTCGTCTAGGCACTGAGCAAAATGAAAAACAAAAAAAAGACTAAACTTCTAGTACGGAATCATCACCTAGAAATATTTAAAATAAACCTAAAAATAATACACTTGTGTTGACTGATCAAGCTTTTAATTTAAAAGGGAATAAAGTGTCTGAATCAAGAGAAAAAATCATCTCGTGGGAAAGACATTAAGAGGAGAATATGATAACTTAGATAGAAACAAAGAAAGTGCGAATTAAAGCAAGTGATGACCATTTACAATTTGTGACTTCCCAGTTTGGAGATTTGAATTAGAAAAATGCTAAAGGTGTACACATGATAGAATAGGATAATGGAGATGGAAAGGCAGAGAGAATTATTCACATTCTTACAGATTGGAGCAGATATTGTGAAACTGGAAAGTTCCAGAAATTGTACACTCTTCCTAAACTTATTGGCAAAGGGGCGTTTGGAGAAGTCTACAAATCTCAAAAAATCATTGATCTCAAAGAATATGCAGTCAAAAGAATCTATTTTAAAGTCTAAAATGAAAAAACCTTAAGAGATCATCCAATTTTTAGAGAAATTGGATCACTCTAAGAAATTAATCACAAAAATGTAGTTAGATATTATACTAGTTGGATTGAAGAGTTAACTAAAGACAATTTAGCAGACATTGCTAAATTACATAAAATTGTAGATGATCAAAAATAGGCCAAATTAAATGAGGTATAGAATTCATATTAACCTCAATTGATGGATGACATGTCTTCTATAAATAATTATGTTTAATTTATTGGAGGAAATGATGCAGATAATGAATAATAAATCTAGACTATTTCAAAACAATCCAAAAATTTGGTTAGTTTTCATTTATCAGATTGCAGCAGTCATATTCAATCTCAAATGCGCAGATATCACTTTAATCCAAATTAAAAAGATGAATAATACTAATTGTTTACCTTATACATTGAAGTAATTGCTAATCTTAATAAAATTAGATGGAATTGTGTGATTATACATTGAGAGATTTCATTGATAAGGTTGATAGAAAAAAAGATTATCCTCTTATTAAATCCATATTTATCTAAATACTGGAAGGAATCATATATATGCATACTAACCAATATATTCATCGAGATTTAAAGTAACTTATTTAATCTAAACATTAGACCACAGAATATATTTATTAATTCGAAGAATGAAGTCAAAATTGGAGATCTTGGACTTTGCAATTCTTTAATTATTAAAATGGATGACGAGTTCACTTCTAGTTCTGGTGAATACACGAACAATGTTGGAACTCCTTTGTATATGGCTCCGGAAGTCAAAGACGATCTTTACGGTTCAGCAGCTGATATATACCCTTTAGGAATAATATTATTTGAGATGTTGTGGGAGATAAAGACTCACTATGAGAAAAATAGGTAAACATTTATAATTTAATTTAGATTGATACAATCTCTTACCAAAGATTCTATTTTACCTCCTGATTTATTTAAGAATCATCCTGTTGAAGCAGAATTGATTCTTAAGATGGTTAGTAAGAATCCAAACAAACGGCCAACTGCTCAATAGGTTTTAGATTCTCTAAACAAATAATGAAAATATATGACACTATCACAAATCTTTTAATAATTTATCAACGTATTCCCAATTATACAATTTATTTCCATTCACATATTCCCCTGTCATAATGGTTAAACTGTCAAAGTATTATTGAAACACTTCAATCCATTTACCATTTTTCATCCCATTAACCAAATAAGATCCACCACCACTTTAGTCATAAAATTTCTAAATACATCTCTTCTTAATGCATAATCGACCATGAACCTACTCTAGTATTATTTTTGTATTCCCCTATGTATTTCAATATTCTATAAATAAAAGAGACCAAAGTAATACATTAGATTGCAATATCCAATATGTGGCACTATTTCTATCCACCCATCAACCTTTATTCCTTTTGAGGTGTATCTACCCCCACCGCTTAAATTTCATTTTTATATTTACTTAATTGTGCTAGATCCATGTTGAGTAATCTGCCATTCTCCAGTTCGTATTCCATCATCATAATTTCCAAAATATTTAAGAATTCTTTTTTTTATAATTATAATTACATTGAGCAACCTCCTCCAACTCTTACATCCACATCAATCCATTTACCCATCTTCGTTCCAAAATCACTATATTATCCTCCCCCACTTTATATTAATGAAATATCATTACATAAATTCTCCACCTACTTTTGTTATTGCCCATTTTCCTTATCTTACTCCATTCGAATATAATCCATTGTATTAAAGAACGACTTCAGAGTTATAGCCAATGTAACATATCACCTCTTACCATTAGCCTTCCTTAATTCCGCTCAATGAATAACTGCCTCCTCCACTTTAAATTTATAATGACAATTACATTAACTCTTTATTTACTTTTTCAATATTCCATCTGCCAACCCTAACTCCATGATTGTATTCCCCTATATGTAACAAGGTAATTGTATCCTCAATCCCATCATGAGCTGAAATTTCTACCCATTCACCATCCTTGCTTCCTGATTTTGTATAGAAGCCAGAAGAACTTAATCAAAGGAATATTAATTACACAACTTCCCTCTGTTCATTTTAAACCACCCAATTGCCTGTTCTGATTCCACTTCTATACTCGCCTATATGAAATAGAGTCCTAAAATAAATCATAGAATTTACAAGTATTTTCCAACTCCAACATGCACTTCTACTTCCTTCCATCCACCCTCTTTAAATCCATACTTATTATAACATCCTCCTCCTAATTAATTCCCTTTATACAATTTAGTAATCCATAATCCTGATCTCTTACCACTACTGTATTCACCCTCTGAAATAATAATCCTTTTCGATAGTTTATATGCTTACACAAAACATCTCCATCCAACTTGCATCTCTACTTCAACCCAATCAGATTCCTTCTCCCCTTATCTAGAATATAATCCTCCTCCACTAATAAAAAGATGTTTATTTTATTTTACATTACTCCTTCTTATTACTCTGATATCACCCATTTACCTATCCTTTTATCAAGATTATAATCTCCAGTGTATATTAAAGTTCTAAAATCAAATCCTTATTTATACTTTGTACTATAATAGCCACAATAGATTTCAACATCTGTCCATTTCCCATCTTTCTAATCTTAGATGTAATTCCCTCCACCTATTATAGTATCAGATCCCTCTTTGTAAATGTTCCAGACTCCAATTTTCTGTCCCTTTTTATATTCTCCTTTGTGTAATAAAATCCTAAAATTATTAATCCATTAATAACTATGAACTTCGCCATCCAATACAAATTTCTACTTCAGTCCAAACTCCTTTTTTATATCCTTTGCACAAACCTCCTCCAATCTAATTTCTACAAATATCCAACACTCGCCAATTCCCTTGTCTTAATCCTGCCTTGTAATCTCCAACATGCAATAAAATTCTAAATTACAGTATCAAATACATAGAAGATCCAACCCCAACATGAACTTCAACTTCCGTCCACAATCCTTCTTTTAAACCAATCTATGAGTAATTACCTCCACCACTTCCTTTTTATATCATATACTTACATTTATCCAGAATTTAATTCCGATATCAACCACAGTCCGACTTTTACTCCATTAACATATTCACCCTGGCTTAAAATTCCCATCGAACACCAGAATCCAGCATAGCCTTCAACATCTGTCCAAAGACCATGTTTTAAACCTTGCAAATATGCTCCGCCTCCTCTGATATTTAGTATCATACTTACACCTATCCTCTATTTCCAAAGATCGTAGCCCATTCACCATGTCTTACTCCATTCACATACTCTCCTTTATGAATAACAATACTAATTAATTTTCAATTATACATCCTTCCCCACTTGCCTATAAATACTTCAGGCTCGACCCACAATCCAATCTTCTATCCTCCTTCAAATTGACCTCCTCCGATGACTGATTAATCCTAATTGTAATAAAACCAATTGTTGACTCTTAGACCTTAATGATACTATCCTCGAAATGTTCTTTTATATTATGTAAGTGTCTTACATACTAAAATCCCTGTTATGATTATAGTAGAGAACTTCCGACCACATGCCAGATCTAAGTCCATTATCATATTGGCCTATCTTATTTAAGCGTCCATTCGTTAACAAGTAGCAGATACCAATATTATTTTAATTGTATTCTTTTACAGCCAATGTATACTCTCCTTCTTGAAATTCTTTTAATTTAATTCCCAAGGCTATTTCATCAAGAGGATAAATAGTAAATTTTGATGCTTGTTCAAGCACTGATTTGGAATACTAAAGCAATTGATTGATTTGGCTTTGCTTGTGATCTGCCATCTATTGTAACTTTTCAGGCATCATAAGTTATATCACTCTATCCAAATGTTCATTTGACAATGAAGTTGTGAATGATTAGCTCTAGAATCCATCAATTAGATAATCAAACAACTCCAATTCTTTGAATATTTAATCCTGGATTACATCTGAAGCTCGTTGTACAGAGTTGATAACATCTCTTATTTTCTTAACCAGCAACTTTGATGCCTCGTCTAATTAAATAATTGCATCTGAAAACTTCATTTCCACAATGTCTCTTATTTTCTTTTTAGCTGATACAACAGTGTCTTCTAATTCGCTAACACTGATGCAACATTCAGTGTGAGATTTATGATGAGAACTTAAACACTTTTGACATCCCCACTTTTATTAGCATCGAGGATGGAGACAAAATAAAGTTATCTCTCTTTCGAAATGGTTCTTCTCTTTGCATTTTGGAGCATTCATCTTATTTAGTTAATTTCTGAATTAAAAATTTATTCTTAAAAATCAATAACAATAATATTCTTACAAATCCCTTGTTCTCTTTATTATAGTGAATAAGAAATAATTTGAATCTTGATTTTAGAAATAAATCAACTTTATATTTATAAATTGTTTTAATAGATTGAATTTATAACAAAAAAATAATGATTTGATTGTCAACATGATCTCTATCTGAATAGAAATAGAAGAAATATTTGATTAAATTATATTTTAACAACATTATAAATTGCTGTTGTAATATTTTTATTTTTTGAACACTATTTAGTTTAAACTATCAGTTATATGAGTTAATAATGTAAAAGTTATTGAATGTTTTATATTTGTATAGCTAAGTTAGTCTACACATCATTGTTATTATCATCAATGGTGCTAGCTTATGACACTATTTTAAATGTAAACTGGCTTTCCAAAATCAAAAGTGAATTAAAAATCCTATTATAAGGTAAAATTTACATTTATAACCTCATTTCAAGGCTGAGCTATCAAGTTTTAATATTCGATAACATAATATACACCTAACAAATAATGGATAACGTTAGATATTAAATTGAATAAATGAACTTAATATAAGGCTTGCTTACAAGATAAAACATAGATTTTAACTATTTAAATTACCTTCCTTATAAAAAGATATGATGTAATTGAAATCTCCAACAAAAATTAGGAAATTAGAAAATTAACAATTTCCAAATTATACTTTATATTAGCTCTTCAAAAAAGGTTAAATTATTGGATAATATGGAATTCTGACTCAATTTGTAAATAAGATGATATTAATGCTCAAAAGTTATTCTACTAAAATAGTGCTAAGAAGTAAAGTGTATTAATATGTATTCAATAGAATCTATTAAAGTTTTTAATAAAAAATTTATTAAAGAATAAATAATTAAAAAAATGTTAAATGCTGACTACATTTAGGCTTTGGCTTTACAATTTTCCATCAATGCAGAATAATTTATACTGTACGATTAACATAGGGATCCAATTTAGAAACAATTCATTTGTTAATATTGGTTAAGAGGTACTTGCTGTTTCACTCCAGGTATAAGTTTATGAAATATTTAGACTTTTGCCATTTTGCCCATGGAATCTAATATTTAGAATATAAAATAGATTCATTAACAAATTTAAAACCTTTACCCAGCTTAGAGGATGTTAAATTGAAATATAGAATTGATGGTTTCCCAAAATAATATTTTGTGGTTGAGAAATTTTAATCACATCCAAAAGTCAAGGAAGAATTGAAATAATATCATGAATATATTGGAAAATATTATGATCCAGATAAAGTTTACACTCTAAGAGAGATTAAGTTTGAAAGATCAATCAAACCAATTATTCTTAATACTATGTATTTGTTGGAAATTTAAAACTTTTATGAAAAAATCTTGGAGATGTTACAAGTTAAAATCATTCCCAGAGCTGTGTTCATTCATGAATTAAACAGAGTTGGGTACTCATTTATGGGTAAGACTTTCATAATATTGTACTCTAGGAAGTCATTTTGCGAGGCCCAAGACCCTAATATTCCATTTATAGAATAGTGGTTCATGTTTTTCCAAGACTCTTAGAACAAGTATAGTGATAACTGGATATGATGAATCAATTTTGAGAAAATAAAATTCTTTGAAAGTCCTTAAATAGGGGGTGGTTAAGCAATAAAATATAGAATAAAACGAGAATTAGGATGACGCGAATAAGGAAGATAATGATGACTAAGATGACGAGGAGGATGATGAAATGATAGGATTGGAAGATCCATTAGAAACTTAGGAGGGCGAAAAAGATATTATTTTTCTAATTAAGGTTGATGATAAAAAAGAATTGATAAAATCTTTTGCTTAAAAATTATCGGAAATTTTAACAGCATAACCAAAATTAGCAAAACTTACAGATATGGATGATTTCTAATTAGCCATAGATGAGATAATTAAAGAAGAAAATCAGAAAAACTTCCAAAATTAATAGTCAATTTTCCCAAATTTGCATCAGATTTTGACAATATAGAATTAAATTTGGGATGAATTTGCTGAAGAACATGGATTTCAACTAATAAAATTTACAAACTCAAGAGATTCAGGAATACCAATAAGTTCAATAGTTAAATTTTTCACTCCTGAACAGAAATTGGAATTAACTAATTATCTATAGAAACCTAAAATTAAATATTTTCTATGTTAATATTGGATGAGAGGTATTTGCATTTTTCAAAAGAAAGATTGCAGATTTGCTCATGGTTTAGAAGATTTGGAGTTAAATTTTGATATTGCAAGAGATTTTGAAAATTTGAACTAAGAGCAAAAGCCATTAAGATATAATTAGAAGCCATTGATTAATCATAGAACTTATTAAATTTTATTTTTGTAACAATATAAAATGATTGATTATGGAGCTTTGGGATTACATCAAAAGAAAAATATTTTTTAAATTGATAATTTGAAGGAATATAGAGATAAAATAAGAGAATTTATATAAAGAGAAATGATACTAAATTTATATAAAAAGATCTCTAATGGTAAACCATAAAACAAAGGGGAAATTATGAAGTATTACAATCTGGTTGGTTTTATCTAGAGAGGAATTGATCTGTCAGAATTGAAGATAATTAAGCTATTAATTAATAATGATGCAGTTTTTGAGAAAGAATCTATTGTAAAAGTGCATCAGATTGAATAGGATGGTTTGAGTAAGAAGGAGAAAAAGAAGGTTACTTAAAAACAGATTCTATTAATTCCCGTATTGGATTATAGTATTTATAACACATTTTATGAATCTATTATTCTCTAAGCTTTGATAATAGTTTTGAAGAATAAAGTGGAATTGCCAGTCGAAGAGAGTATTGTAAAGAAGGAAATCTATAAATTGGATTAAGTATTAGAAATGCCAGGACTTTATCAATTTTTCCTCAGGCATCCAAAAAAGAAATATACATTGATTGATTACTTTTAAGAAAATATCTTAGGGTAAGTTAAGAATAAATTGAAAGATTAAATTCATCCAGAAGTATTTGAGTAAATATCTGAAGATGGATTTAATTTGATTTAATTTGAGGCTGACATTCCTTAATTGATGGCAATAATTTAAGCGATTTACGGAAATACCTTAAGTCATAATCAAATTCCAATAAATTTTGATAAATTGATCAAGTAAATAGAAATGAAAGCAAGTGATAATGATAAATACAATTGTTTAGTAAATTATTTGCATAAGGATAAATTACATAAATTTTTCAGTATTAATGGGAGTCTTTATGCAATCAACTAGCATGGAAAGGTAGCAGATAAGATTAAGAAATGCAAATGTGGAAAGCAATATCAAGCACCTGCAAAAATAAAATAAATCAATGATAATATGCTGATACAAAAAATAATGGAAATATAAGAATTTATTGATAAAGAAGTTAGAAACACTATAGTTGTGGATTCAGCAGAAAAATTACTATTGGTGCAAGATTTCATGTCCTTCGATGTTAATTACATTGGTATAGACTTAGAAGGATAATTAAGAAAGGGAGATATTTGGTTAGTTTAGATGGGTGTAATGGTTGAAAATTTGAGAATCATTTTCATTTTTGATCTAATGAAAGCTAAGTATTTGGAAGCCGATTTAGTATTTCATGAATAGATGTTGAGTGTGATTAGATCGATTTTAGAAGATGAGGGGATTTGCAAAGTATTTCATGATTGTAAAAGAGACAGTTAAGCACTGCATATCAATCAAATATGTCCAAGGAACATTGCAGATACAAGTAGTACATATATATTTTTGGAATCTCTGAAACTGAATGATTAGGAATAGAAAAAAGTTAAAAAGAAGTAAGATAATAGATTACTATTATAGTCCCGTTTAAATATCCAAAGAAGTGTTATAAGTAGCAACTCCACCAATAAATAGTGTATTAACTAAATATGGAGCTATGCATGGAGGAAATGAATTAAAAGAAGAAATGCATGCAAAATTCAATAATTGCAAGGCAGACGATTTCTTTGCTCGTCCAAATCCAGCCTTCATGTATTACAGTGCTAGGGATGTGGAAGATCTTGTTTAAGTTTATTTGCAGATGGAAATGCTAGCTTTGGAATATAGATACATTATTGAGAAAATGAGTAACAAAAATAAAGAGTATTTTCTTAAGAGTCAGGATAAAATTTAGGATAAGTGATTTGTAGATATTTATATATAATAATATATAAATTAATTAGAATGTTACCTAAAATGTTAGGTAATATTTAAATTTGATCATTAGATGCCTCCTTCTTGTATGGAGAGAAAAGATTTTTAAAGAAACTAAATAGACAATTAGATGAGAAGTATTATGTTATTGATTAGTAATGAGATTAATTAAAATCAAGAAATGACATTTGAGGAGGTATTATCTTCCAATATAGATTGTCGAGAGAAGATAGAAAAGTTAGTCTCTGATCCCAATTTATAAAATGATTTTCTTATTAAAGCACACAATATAAACAAAGATTTAAAAGACTTCTATTATTTGCCTTTAGTTGCATTAACTTTAGATCCTCCCAGTTATTATCCGGTAGATACAATTGATATTGAAACTATCTTTTAACACTTTGGATAGGTAATAAACTATTTAATTATACAAGATTCTTAAAGTTATCAATAAAGATAAAATAGCTTATATCTTAATGAGAAGCATAGTTGAATGTTGGATTGGAGTTAAACTTCTCAATAACACTCCGATTGAATTGCCTGGTAAATTTGGAACCAATTAGATCCATACTCTTAAAGTGCAATTATGTTTTGAAGATTCCTCTGTACATCACATTTATCAATTTAATCATCGAAATCTAACTGAACAAGGATTGACTATATAGAAGGTAAGAAGCATCAAATTTTAGGAAGACTCCAGATTTATTCGATAATTTAGAAAAAGACTACAAATATATATCCATCTTTGAAATTGATGTAGATGTGTTTTAGAAAGATTTCAATATCAAGCAAAGAATATTGGGGTTGAAGGGTTCAAATATAATCAGAATATTGTATTTAGTGGAAAAAGCATTTGCATTTTAAAGCAAAGAAAATGCAAGTACTAGATAAGAGTTGGATGTTAAATTGTTGGTTGATGACTGTAATTACTTATTTTATATAGAGAATCTGAAAATTAGTTGATTTTGCTTGGCAACTAATGGAATAAATTTGTATTAGGTTAAAAATATGCTAATGAATTATTTGCTTAAATCAAGGAAGAGTTCAAATTTTTCTAAGATTTCCAACTCTAAGGATTAAAAGAGTCCAGAGTTAGACGAATAGATAAATTTGTTCAACCTGTAGAGGTTTAATATTCATATGATGCAGATGTCTGATTAATTTTTTGAGTATTCTTCGTTAATATTAAATTATTTTATATTTATTTTCTAAAAAATTAAATCTTCCCCTAAAAATTTGCATAAATCAAAGTTTAACAACATACTAAGATCCTCACACTTATACTATCATAACATATAGAGATGAGAGAATTATAAGGTTGAGGATCATTGAGAATCAGGTTTATAATCAATCTTATTAGATCATTTGTAATTCAAATAATAATTTTAATATAAATTTCATTTATCTCTTGGAGGACTTCCGAATGTTTTTTTTCGATAAACTTGCAAATTTTGAACTTCTTAACATAATTACTAATATTCCATTTTGATGAATTTTATCATTTCTTCTTTAGAGAACTAATTCTATGAATTACTATTTATATCACTTATTTTCTATCCTGATTCCCCTTTGTCATTTACAAGCTCTTTTATTTAGTTCAAGATTCGAGTTAATCTCTTCTAATTATCACCTAAATTAGCTCTTTTGTTCATTTAAAATAATTGTAATTATCTCTGGCAATGGTTTTAAGAATTAATTTTCCTCATAATATTTTGATTTTAATAATTTGAGTTGATCATAAAACCGATTAAATTAAATATCAATATTCTTAGAAATAGTCATTTGATCTATCCATATATTATAATAATTATTAAATCCATTATATAATTTAAATGTCCTTGTTTATATATTGATTATTAAAAATATTATTATTTCAAATTGAAGTGATAAGTAATTTTATTTTATGAATAATACTATTTAAATTATTTCATTTTATATTTGTTTTGAATCCCTCTTATAAATTATCTTAGATGTTTATTTACATAATTTAATTTTATACTAAGTTAATTTCAAAGCAGAATGAGAAGAATTCATGTAACATATTATCCTAACAATATGAAAATAAATTTTATTTTTATTATTCTATACGGTCCTAATTATAAAATCATTCTCTAAAGTATGTAGAGATTGTCTCTTTATTAGCTTAACTTTCATTGATAAAAGTTAAAAAAAAACTTTAGGCTCATGATTATACTTTTTAGATGACAAGGTGTAGCATTTAATAATTTATATAAAATGTTAAGGGGTGGCGGGGCTTGTACTTCTTAAACTAAACAACAATCTCTTTCCATCAGCTCATTATAAATTTCTAATCAATTTGAGAATGTTCTCTCAAGTAATGTCCTATTGCTATCAAAAAGTGCTGAGGATTTTAACAATAATTATTCATAACTTTACAATAGTCTTTAAATACTGCTATCACTTGATCAAGAACTATATAATCTCACCAAATCAAGGAATCAACTCAATAAATAGGTTGAAAGTTTAGAGAAATGGCTTACAGAAGTTCTTGAATCATGTTTGAAATTAAAGAATCCATAACTTCGATATTTAGCACTCCAATTTGCTCAAAAACTGTCCAGGACTATATTTTGGTATTATTGTTAATCAAAGTCAATTAAAGATAGAATGCAGTAATAATATATTTCTACGTTAAATAAAATTGAGACTCAAAATAATGCATCAGATAGTTTTTACAAAAATATGATTGAATATGAAATCATGGTGTGTAAGATGATATTTGTCATTTTGCCTAATGATCTACAAGAAGGTTTGGAAGTTATGGCCTTATTTACAAGTTACAATTAAATTCTAATGACTACACTTCCAAAATCCACTCAGGATACCATTAAAAGTGGGGTTGTTTAATCAATTAGGGATGCTACTAAAGTCCAATACAGAAAAATCTATAAATAAATATTTAATATAGATACAATGAAATGGTGGGTGATATAGGAACTCCGATAAAGTAATCATTCAGCAAAGGAAATCATTACAGAATTACACAATTTCCACAAGGATATATCAAAATCTGATTATTATGTACATTATGCTTGGATCTAAGCTGTCAGTGATATTGTATCATATGCTCCTTTAATTTCTGAAGATCATATATAAATTATAAATTCGGATCTATAGGATTTGATAGATATGGGATGTTTGTAAAAAATTAAGAATGAATATCGTGTGACATTTAGCTACATTAAAATGAAGAATCAATATTGTCAATAGATATACGAAAAAATACCTATTTTTACCATGCTTAAATAAATATAATCTTAGATTATTACATAAGATAAGTTCTTCAATTCTCTTTATAAGAAAAAGGAAGAGTAAAAGGAATCTTAAAAATAGGAGTTAGAAACCAAAAATGTCTTTGAGTATCTTTTTTAATTATTTGTTGAGATTGATATTGAAGCAAATATTGATTTAATCAAAAAAGCAAATCAAAGTTATCATGAATTAAATGAGAATATAACTTTAATTAAATAATTAAGTTTAAATAAGTGGATTAGAATGTTGGAGAAGAAATCCTATGATGATCCTGTTGTTTTTGGAGAATTTGAAGAAAAACAAAAGTAAATTAAACACTTAATAAATCAAGTCAAAGGAATTTAAAGATTCTTGATTCATTTTGATTATATACTTTTACAATGGAATATAATGGAATAAATAGCAAGTTCTGAAGGAAAATAAACGCAATTGTAATCCATATTTTTAGAAAATCAATAGAATTATTTGGATTGTCATTTAATAAGTAAAGCCAATTTAGAGAATTTGAAGGATATACAATTATTAAATATTAATTTTGATGTTTACTTCTCGATAATTACTGAATTTATTGAGAAGCAATATTAAACAGTCATAAAGGTTGTGCAAACAACTAGATCTACAGATCCGATAATCTCCTTATATAAATAGAATAAGGATATTACTGATATTGTATAAAATAGTTTAAGAAAAGTAAATGATAAAATAATACAATTTAAAAATGCTTTTATGCGCATTTCTTTGAAATTAAAATAAGTTGACTATAATTGCATATAATAATTTTATCTGGTCTCTTTGAGATTACAATACTTAGAATTTCCAAATCAATAATTTGAATTCAGAAATTAAGACCACAAGACTCTATTTTTTATTTAAGGCTATGAGAAATAAATAATAAAGAGTTAATTAATTGAATTGCACAAAGAGTTTCGAGAGTTATTTGCAAGCAGCTAGTTTCAAGACTACGAATAAGCAAAAGTTTATATAAGATCGATTCAATTTATAAGTAAAACTATTGACAATTTGATTAATCAAAATAAGAAAATAATCTAACATATTCACAATTATAAATTGTCTCTATAAATAGATTATGCATATGATTATTATAATGATTTAATAAATTAATGGAATACTATGTTTTAAATGGCTGAAGAATTAGACTATCAAAAATATGACTAATCATTCATTTAGATAAAATATGACGAATTAAAAAAGATTTATGAATATATTTGTTAAATAAATACATCTATAAGATGGCCAGTCAATCCTTAATTAGCTTCATATTTTAAGATGTAAAGTTAATTAGAAGGATTAATTCAGGAACTCCAAATCTATTAAAGTTACAATCTTAGTTAAGATCTAAATTCTTAAATTCGGTATTAGAGTATTATAACTAATATTAAATAAATATGTCTAAGCTAAGTACAAAAAGTCAAATCAATTCTTGAGTAATATACATAAGGCGTGGATCAATTGTCCAATCGATTGGAAAATCAAACAAATTTTTAAATTGAAGAATTGTAAAACCTATTACTAAGCGTGTAAGAAGCTTTGGACGATACCTTGAATTTGGTTTAATCTCGACTACTAACATCCAATCAAAATTCAACCAGTGGTTCAATTAATGTCTTGTAAAGTAACAAAAAACAAGATTTTGAGACATTCTATAATTATAAATTTAGCACTGAAACAATTATAGTCATGCAATTTATTAAGTTCAATTTCAATTTTATAGACTAGAATGCAATATTAGAAATACTCAAATCGGATGAAAATGAATTAGAAAATCTACATATCGTTTAATCTGCCATGGAATCTCCAATAATACGATCTATTGTGATTGTTAATTTGATGAATGTTTGGAATTGTTGTTTGGTTGAAGAAGATTTTGATACAATTAGTAAATTAATTTTATAAATTCGAATAAATGAGACTAATGTATTGATTAAAAGAGAAATCAAATCCACTTACAAAAAAGAGTTTAATTAAATAGTTAATAATTCGCTCTAAGGAGAATTAGCATGGTTTGAGTTGGATTTGAAATAAATGATTTAAGAGAGAAATTCATTGTATTTTTAAATTAAATACGAGCCAACCTTTGAGCTTTCTTAAAAGTTAGAAGAAAAGATAAACAAATTGACAAATCAAATATAAACAAGAATTTAAAATTTTTAAGAATTGGAATAAGACTATAATATTTCAATTCCATTTTGTAATAAATTATTGTCAGATTTTGAAAAAAGCTATCAAGGTTCATAATCTATAGAACTACAAGAGATTAGCTTTTATTAAGGAAACTCAATTACTGAACTATTTCTATTAAGGATGGATAATATTACTAGAAAAATAAAAATAGCCTAAGTTAAAAATACTTATGTTGAGTTTGAATGCTAAAACAGAAGCAAAAATTAAATTAGATTATTATTTTTCTCAAAAAGAAAAAAGAAACAGTACTATGGATAGATTTTTAGATGATTTATAATAGGATAGATTACTATTATTATAAGGAGAGTCAGGATCAGGAAAAAGTCTAGCTACAAAAATGATTGAAGAGTATGTTTGGAAAAGAAATGATCCAATCAAAATTATTCCTATTATTATAAAGTTGTCAGAGTTGAAGGATCCAATTAACAATGCTATAATTGAAACCTTAAGATCCTTAAATTATAAATTAAATGTATCTCAAATAGAATAATTATAAGCTCATATTAGATCGAATAAAATGCAAATGCTATTTATATTTTAAGGTTATGATAAACTCAATCAAAATTAAAAAAGTATTAACTTTCTTAAATCGAATAATTTAATTTAATGGAATACACCTTGTTTACAGAATACGCCAAAATATATTGTTGTTTCCAGGAGTGAGCAATTTAAAAATCCAAATCATTTACGTTGGATTGATTAAAATGAAGAAAATTATAAAATCAAAAATTATTGGAATTTAAAAATACTTCCTTTTGATACTGATTAAATCAATTAATTTTTAATACAGTTCTAAGAAATAAGTATAAGAAATGTTGTTATGGATTTTTACTAACTGATGTGTGAATTTCCACATCAGGATTTATTAATCTATAATTTTATCTCATTTTGGAAGAAGATTAACTTTAATTTTAATGAGTAAAGTTTAGGGAATGTGTTACTATCCTAACCAATTATCAATAAATTAATAATTACACTATAGCAAGACACAAATATCAAAAATTTTAAAGGATCTATTACTTAATAATTGTCTCTTTAATTAGGATAGTTAAAATCAAGCTATTATTATAGTAGAATTTTGGAAACCCTCTAATTTGATCAATCCATCGATAACCCATAAATCTTAAAGGTTTTTATTTATGCATTACCAAAATTAATCTTAAATTTATCTGACCTTCCAAAAATCAAAAATTAATTCTTCAATGTCTTTTTTACATAAAATTATCAAAGCCTTTGCGATATTAGTGAGGCTACAATTGATTTAGAAAACCATTGGAATTAATTGGTTAATAGTTAATTTTTCAAAATGTACAACTTAGAGTATTCGGTAGCAAAAGCTAAATTAATAATCAATTAATTATTTTTAAATGATAAAGCTCTCATAAATAAACTTATATAAGCATTTGAAAAAATACAAATCACTCATTATGATCTTTATGAAGAATATATGAATTACTAGTTTGATAAGTCCGTTGTTAACTTTGAATTAAATGAGTAAGGAATTGATCTAACAATATTTAGATAAGAATAATGGAACTTTTCTTTAAATTTCGCATAATAATTAGCCATTAATGAATTATTTTCAATCAAATTGAATAATTAAAATTCATCAAAGGCAATAGGATCTGTAAGTGATCTATAAATAATTCTGTAAGATGATATATATTAAATAAAAGATACTCTTATATCAAAAAGGTATTTAAGAAACTCAATACCATTAAGGGAACAATTTTCAGTCTATTCTTTTGAAAGCAAGATCATCTAGGAATTCTTAGTAGCGAAAGTAATAATATAATAAATAGAATAAGTTGATCACGTCCCAAAAAATGAACTATTTGATAATACTATAATTAAAATGAAAAATGTATCAAATCCATTTTATATTGGAACAGTTAATTTTATTGTTTAAAAATTAAAATCTAACTTTCATTTAAAACAAAAGTTAATGAAGATGATTTAATTATCATCAAGTAATGTGGATTATTGTTAATTATCATCCAATGCCTTTTACTTGTTAATGTAATTGGATGGTTCTATAAGAGGAGGAAATCTTATGAATGTAAAACTTAAAGATATTGTAATCGAGGATTGTTATTTATAAGATTGCAATTTATCTGGGTCAGAATGGAATAATATAACTGTGAAGAATTTTTCATTGATAAAAAACAATATGTCAAATATGACTTGTAAGAACCTGAAATTGGCGTCTTTTTTTATAAAGAATACTTTAAAAAGCCCTCTTTTTGTCAGAATTTTTCAATCTGGTCAAATCATCATCGTTTATAAACATTCAATTCAAGATTTATTTGGCAATTTAATTATTAACGGTACATTTCAAAATTGCTAAATATATTAGATAGGAGACGATTTTTATATTACAACAGAAAATATATTTTATCTTCTTAGAGAAACTAATAACAAAATTAACTCATATTAATTCGATATTCAAAATGTCATATCAGTAACATAATTTGATTAATATATTATGCTTTTGTAGTTGATGGCACCTTCTGATGCTAAAATTTTCTAGCTTAATCCAATAAAGCAGGAAATCCAATTTAGAATTCCAATATTACTCCAAGATATTATTAAATATAATATCAAATAATTTTATGATATGTAAGGTAACTTGATTGTATTTTTAACACAAACTTTATAAGTCTAAAGCATGCATTATTAAATTGAGGGTGGATAACTATCATTTGATAATCTAACATTTCATACTACTCTGAATAATATTGAAAGAATAAGTTCAATAAAATATTATTAGGACTTAGATATTACTGTTGTTACAAAGGAAATTGTTGACGCCTATTAAGAATATGATGTTATCTATGGTACTTTCAACTAATTAATTGGAAAATTTATTGTTATTGAAAATCAAAAAAAATAATTTTTATATTTAAATAACACCAATTTATAGTTGATAAGTTAGGAAACCTTCAAAATGATTAGTGAATGCGAATTATATGAAACCACTTTAAATTTAAAAAAAAGTTAATGTTATTTAATGAATCATGAGACTATGTTGTTAACATTTTAAGATTCCTTTATAATTTTGAGTTTACAACCTTTTGAAGTAATAAAGCAAATTAAAATACAAGCTAATGATCTCATTATAAATTCGAAATATAATTATATTTAAATATTGACTGAGTGTGAACTTCTCTGTATCGATATAACTTATGCTCAGGATAGATAGGATAAAATAATTAATTCTGCATTTTAACTAGATAGTGTCTATTTTATATAAAACTCTTGTAATTTTTTAGGGAAAATGAGTAAATCTGAAGATATTTATATTGTAACACTAAAAAAAGGCATATATGATTTTAAGAATTTGGGTTAATCTGATAATTCTTAGATGTATTTAAGTAATGATGAAAACTATGCGATCTTTAGCAAAAATAAAGAAACTATTTGTTATGATTTAAAATCAAATATAAAGATGAACTTTGTTGCGTTATTATATGATAGAATTTTATGGATAAAAGATAATTAAAATTTTTTTTATTTATAACATGGTTTTATAGAGGAGTTTAGAAACTCTTTGATTACAGTAAAAAACAAAATTATTAATAAATAATCTTCTAGATAAATTAAATCAGCTTAGAGCACTGAAAAGAGATTATTCATAACTACAAATACAAATGAAACTATTGTGTTAAATCAAAAATTCTAATAGGAATACGTAACAACTAAATATATGATTAAAAAATATAGAGAATTTTATATAACAAATAACGATCTTAGATATGAGAGTAATGTAAGAAATACCATTACAATTATTTATGACTCAAAAAATAAAATCAAAGATTTTTGGATTTTTACAGAAACCATACTAATAAGGGAATAAGAAGATAATAATGAAATGAGTACATTGGTTTTATTGAGAAAATTAGATAATTGCATCTTGGCTTAAATTTAAATTTAAATAGATCACATTGCTTATACAGATAATATGATATAGATAATTAGCAATAGAATTTTATGGCTAACATATTCAGCAAAAGACTTCTATTAGCTCTAATCAAATATTTTGCTTGTGAACCAAATTCAAATGTCATCAAATAGTTATGATTAAGTTGCAATTGTTTCTGCTTTTTCAGAGATTACCTTCTGGAGTACAATTACATATTAGGTTCTTTAAAGTTTGAAAAATGTAGAACTAATCTAATATTTTAAAATGATACCCAATAAAGATAGACAATTTTATGTTGCTGATAGAGATGTTTTAAAATTGTACAATCAAAATCAAGTTCGCTTTACAATATAACTAATAAAGAAAAGAATTTAAATTGTTACTAATACATGGGGTGCCATTCATCATATATATCAAGTCGAGGAAGACAAAATCACTTTAAATAGTATGAATGAAGATTCTAAAATAATTAATTGGAAGAAAGTTGTATTTGAGTTAGATTCAAATAGAGAATAAATAGATTGTATCGATAATAAAGATTAAAAACTCATATATTTTAGTGGATAAAAACTATAACTCAGTAATTTGGATTCATTTGACATAATTAAGAGTATCCCTTTTCCAGAAACTTTTAAGGCTATTTAAATTAAATATAATCAAGATTGCTCACTAATAATATTGAGATCAAATGATAAAGTTATTATTATAGAAGCATTAGAATTAAAAATATTGAATTCAATTTCACTTAATGAAATTTTTCCATAATTTTTTGAGTATGCATCTCAACTTGAAATCTTTATATAAGGACAAAGCAATTTGATTTTAAAACAAATCAAAGATACCTAAAATTTAATTTACACATATTCATTAACCTCTAAACGGTTAGATTTGATTACTTTAAGCAATAATGAATTAATGATCGGTCCTAATTCATAGGGCTTAGTCATAATTGATAAAAAAACAGGATCTATTTAACTATATCATCCTATAATTATAGAAACACAATTTAATTCTATATCTTATATCAAAACCATAGAACAAAATAAATCAATGCTTGCAAAATGTTAATTATTTGGTAATTAACTAATTAATTGTAATATAACTCTTAATAATCAAATTAATATTAGTGATATTTGGAGAAATATCGTCTGAGATAAATGATATCTATTTATATTTTGCAAATAACAATTCAATCATTATTATTTAACCCTTCAATATAAATATAAATTAAACTATTGATTTTATTGATGTTATTCACACCTATATAATGAAATTCATAAAAAAACATATATTATTTGGGTGCCTTTCTTTATTCTATTAAAATTAATTCTCTTTTACTAATCTAAATTTCATAAATTTCAATTCTTGAAATTTTCATAATAATTTTCAAAATTATTACACACCAATAAATGTTAATATTTTGAATAAATTCAAGCATTAAAAGCATGATAATTGAAAACATGAGTTAACATAATTTAATTAAATTAATTTTGGATACTGTTTTAAGAAATTTAAATTCTATTTGGTGTAAATCTTATTTTTTTGATTTTTTCTAAAAAATGATGTTTTGTATTTTTTGAGGTATTAATGCAATTCATTTTCCCAATTACCTTTTTCATAAAAATAGAATAGCCAAATAATGATGAAAAGTAGGATCTAAATTCAGAAAACAGCCTGGTTTTAGTTTATAATTCAATAAAATGATTAGAATGAAAGAAGGACTAAAGAAAGAAATAATTTACAACGAAATGTAAATGGTTTTCCAACTAGTCAGTTACACCTTTTGCAGCTGCAATGTATTATGTAAATGCTGATATGAACATCTGAGCGTTTGGTATGCTATTTTCGTTTTGAGTGATAAAATAAATTTACAATAATATAAATGAAGAATTATTGAAACAAATAATCTTTAAGAATTGTAAATATTCTTATAATAAACAGCTAATTTTTCAATCTCTTAAATTTATTTACCTTAAATTAGCGCTCTAAGAAATATTAACTATAGACGTTAAATATCTTAACAATTAATACAAGAATTAATTAAAGAAGTAGTTAATGAACAGAAAAATTAAAAGAAATTGTACTCATTCTGATCAAATCTAATAATTTGTTATAATAACTATGTGGACTAATAACTGATTAAACCTAATTATATTTGCAAATAACGATATATATTGTAATCAGTATATTTCTAAAGGCTATTACAATTTTAAAGAATAACGAATTAATGATTTGTTTTCTATAAATTATACAAATACATGATAATAAGTTTTAGTAACTCAATAATCAAAATAGGAATTCGAATTTAAATGTCTCATCATTAAATTTCTTTGAATTCTCTTACTAGTAGAGACCATTTGAATATAAAAATAATGTATTTATTTATAAAGAGGGAATAAAGCTTATATAAATTTAATAAAGGATATTATTAATATTTAATCTGAATCAAAAGCACTTTGAAGCAAGCTAGAATATCCTTTATGTTGCTTATAGTTTTGCTAGTTAGAAACTTTTTCTAAAAACATCACTCCAATTTGAATAACTAATTGATGGAAAATACCAGCAAATTTTCCACCACCTTCTACCTATGCATCTTCTAACCCAATTCAATGATATGTGTTACCAAGATGCATAAAGATCAAATGTCAAAGCTTCTATTTAAAAATCCAAATAGACCATGTATCTATTAGGTACGATGGAATTGTCTGTTTAATTAAACTTAAATTAGGCAACCCCGGTAGCAGAACCTTTGAAGACATGTCCTTCAACTCCAGCTCTGATTTTAATTACATAAATAATATTTAGCTCCCCATAGGCTGTCACACCCAAAGATGCATAAAGATTTTCTGAAATACCAAGTTCACTTTCAGTTTTGATTAAAGATTCAGTAAAGCCCCAAGATAAATTATAATCAGCACCTATTGTTAAAGGGTACCCCATAATTAAAATAACAGTACCAAAAATTCTCTAAGCTTTGGTTCCTTATAATTTAACAGGTTATAAAGGCTTCCCTTAATATTAAAAATCTCTCTTATGTAAAACAACTACACAATCACCATTAAGTGAGATGCATGCTTACAGATATCCTGTGGCTCCTGTATCATTTACTTTTCCTTAAAATTCTGCCTATAATCCAATTTTTTATTTAAAAACCGTTGCCTATTTCAGAATTCTTTTTTAGTTAAAAACATTAGAATTACATTCACCTTATTAATTTTCTAATTATGTTTCTGAACTCGAACCTACATCTCCATTTTCATTCTAAAGTAATCTACTATCTCCTTGGGTATTTTAATTTGATTACTAGGCTTGTGTTTAATCTTACTAGTTTTAATTTTAATCACTTTAATCTGTTTAACTTTATATTTTATCTTATAAATCTTGTATTGAATAATATTTAAGTGTTTATTTATTTTTGATTTCTGTAAGGGCATTTGTTAAGTCTTCGTCAGACTTTGTTTCTACAGTTATTAAGTTTGAGTCATTTGTAATTTCTGTCTCTCATTTTCCAGCTAAATCTTCTTCATCATTACTTTCATTAGAATTATCAGATGATACAAAATTACTAACTTTATACTTATTTTTTATATTTCCGGATACTAAATACTTCTCCTTCTCTCCCCTTTTCTCTTAATATTCTTGAACCATATCTAACACCCTCATAGGTTTATCAGTCCTACTATGTATTTTCTCTTATTTTTCTACTTTTTTCTTAATTTTTTAATTTAGCATGTCTTATTTTTTTATAGATATGTTGTTGATAAATCGTTGGTAAGGCCGAATATATTGAGTTGAAAAATGGAGGTTTAATAATGTTTTTGGCTGAT